TAAAGCAAGAAGCCTATCTTCTATCTATCTTCTTTTCTCCCCGCCTCCACATCGCCGAGTAAAATATCTCATCATTCTCTATGTATTTATGTGTAGATTTGTGTATTGTCTGACTGATTACGCTTTATTTCATGTCCTGAATAAAGTATCAATATATATAATATATTCAGAAGGTATTATACTCAATGGTATTATACTAAAAGGCTAAAAGGTATTCAGATCAGTTTTATTATACTCAATCAAAACTTTTACTTACCAAAATATTTAAAATCTAGCACTAATGCAGAAAATAATAAATCAACGGTGGGGAAAAAGTAGACAAGTGTGCCGAGGAGGGTCTGGAAAGGTTTGGATTACGGTAACTGGAGAGGGAAAGGTGACTGTGCAGTCACTGTACGGAAAAGAGTCTTGTTTTGCAATGATTTCCATTTTGCAAGCATCATTATTGTAAGGTTTTTGGAATTATGATGCTTTAGTCAAAGAAGCAAGTAAAAAAACAAGAGTCTGCTCCCATTTCCTAAACCGTACCTTTTTCTCTCTCTTTTCTACCATTTCTACCATTTTCTTTTCTAAACCTTGTCTGCTTGTCTGCTTGTCTGCTTGTCTGCCTTGTCTGCCTTGTCTGCCTTGTCTGCCTTGTCTAACCTTGTCTGCTTCCCCCTAATCTTGTCTCAAATTTTATCAAATCTATCCACTTTTTGTATCTTTCAATATCATTTTTCAAAAAATAAGACAAAAAGTAAATAGATTAAATAAAAATACAGGGTGCGTCATAATTATTGCAACAAGATACTCAAGGCATTGCACACCTTGAGGAGTCGCCTTCCATCCTTGGGTCAAAGAGCAGACATTAGCCTCTAAGATTGCCCAAATGGAAAAGTCCATCACATTGAGATCCGGTGAGTTTGGAGGCCATTCATCCTTGGTGATCACTGAGGGAAAGTTGGCCGATTACAGTCCTTGGTGATCACTGAGGGAAAGTTGGCCGATTACAGTCCTTGGTGATCACTGAGGGAAAGTTGGCCGATTACAGTCCTTGGTGATCACTGAGGGAAAGTTGGCCACACACCAGTCCTGAACCGTCTTCTTCGTGTGAGCGGGAGGCAATTAGGCAAGAATAGAACAAGAATAAAGAATATAGAACGCAACACAACAAAAAAGGGGGCAAAAAAATTAAGAAAGCTGTTTGGAAAACGGTCTTTGAACTCTTGTTGCAATAATTATGACGCACCCTGTAGAGACAAGATTACGGTCAGAAGAGAAAATAAACCCATCTTAAAGAAACAAATTGGAAAAACTTACTTGAATGATCAAAGATTTAATAATACTTTTCTGTGCCCGATGCATTCGCCGACTAATGAAAACTTTTGAGCTGCTTAATCGGTAGATTACTCGGAAAACCGAGAAGAAGATGATGGCAATAAAGACGGAGAACTAAATTTGGAAAACTTGAAATTTGAAACTTGAAATTTGAAATTTGAAATTTGAAATTCCGGGATTGACACCTCGATCACCCATGCCCATAGAATTTCGTTTATTCGGCTGATCTCCGCTGGCATAATCACCCAATTGGTCATGTTCAGCAAGTGGTGACTGTTTGGGTAATGCTGAAATGAAGTGATCAAGTGCAGAATCGAAAAGATGACGATATCTCTCTTTCCACCTCTTCCACATATCCATTCTGTGTCTCTCGATCCAAGCCAGCCATTCCCACTGTATACCCGTTTCGAATGCTAAACAAGAGGTGAAGACAAAGAGCAGTCTGGAAATTTCAACCATTTAGACAAAAGTAGTCAGTCAAGTATCTACAAACATTGAAATTCCATCATTTCCTTACACAAGCTTGTCTAAACGGTGTCCCGTGTCCCCATCGATGTCCCTCAATTGCCCAAAGTCGACTCAGAAAACAATTCACGATGGCGATATTGCAATTGTAGACAACGATTAGGGAGAAGATCTGGATAAAGAGGGTTTTTGAAAGAAATTGTGACTACAAAGTTATTGTAGAAACAATTGTAACAATAGCACTTTATTCGAAGTACGATAGTTGTCATGACAAGACTCTTCCTCTTACCATTTCAGGCCAAATCCAACTTGGCGGTGAATATGCAAAGAGACAAGCCGGTGACATGTAAACTCCCTCAAGTGGGAAGAGGAAACCCACACAGAAAAATGAATTGTAAACAAAATCGGAGATGAAAGCCCAGATCTGAATCGAGAAATTTCCCATTGTCCTACTCTATTTAATTCTGATTTGCATCTCAAAGATTACCAATAAATTGAGCAGAAAATATTTATAAACAGCCATTTCTTTTGTGCTGTGCCGGAGAATGATATAGACACCGAAGCCATTGATGAAAAATATTAGCACCGCGTTCGTTCGCCAAATCAGCTGAATGCGTTTGATCTTTAAAGATTTCCCAAGTGAATGGATGCATGATTAGATGCAAGATCAGCAAAAATTGTTTGTCAGACTTTAGCTCAACAGTATCCAACACAAGATTCAACCAAAAAACTCGAAAAACCAAAAACCCACCACCAGCCACAGCTGCGTATCCACCGGGATCACGACTTCGTTAACCCACATAAAAATGCAAAGTTTCAGCTTCGATACCAAAATTTCCGATAATTATGGTTTCGGAAAAAAAATCGATACTCTCAAAAAGCATAATCACGGCTCTTTTTCATCCTTTGAAGAGACAAAAATGACAAAAAAACAGTGAAAGTTGTAATTTTGTTGAAATAGCAATTTTATCTGAAAGTTAAGAAGCTCAATTCTGAATCACCCAATCCAGATTCGTATGTGCTTCTAAAGTTAAAACATAACAAAATAGGTTCTGGTTCGATTACAGGCAAAGTCACTGCCTTGCTAAAATTCTTAAGCTACGCTTGACAAATCGTTTCATATTCACATTATCCACCTTTCCAATGTCACTGAAATTTTATCGCTTCAAGATTTTAAAATCGATGAAAGAAAACAACAAAAAAATATCCAAGTAAACACATAAAAACAAAACAAAATTAAATTAACTTTTTGAAATACATTAATGTCGCATAACATTGCAGATCGTAGTGGTTTTTGAGTTGCTCAGAGTTCTCTGAATTGATACAATCGATTGTGAAACCTTCCTGCTCCTTGGTGAAATTCTGGGCGGTTGGGGCGGCGGCTGGCGATTTGGCGGGCGTCTGTTGCACGACCGGGGGAAGGGTCACTAAAAAAGATAAGATAAAATTAAGTACACAAAAGCATACACAAAGCAGCAGAAGCGAGGCCGGTAGCAGAAGAGAAGCCGGTTGAGGGCAGAGAAGTTGAGGGCAGAGAAGTCGAGGAGAGGGTCGTGGAAAGCGACGTGATGGAGCCGTGGTCGATTGGCGGAGCCAGCAAAGCATCGAGCGCCGGGAAGGCACGTTGCTCGGTCAGAGGCGGAGGCACCTCGCCGGCATCCATGTGAAGCATGATGTCGGCGCCAGTTGCTTGCTGCTCGCAAAAGTTGGCGAGCTCGATCGCTAAAACCAAGATTTAAGAGATTTGAAAAGAAAAAAGACATACCGAAGTGGTCGCTGGCTGTAATTGGTTTTCGGCCGGGTCCGAGCGGCATCCCGCACTCTTGAATGGCGATGGCAAACTGGTCGCAGACTTTGAGGCCGTCATCGTCGTCTCCGACACCATCGTCTTGTCCCTGGAAATTTTAAATATAATTAAGTAGAGCATAAACACAAATAAATAGTATAGACAAATAGCAAATTTACCTCACGACTTTGCACTTCTTGTTCCACCGTTGATTCTACATTTGTCGTTGAACGAGCTCTTGAACCAGCTTTCGGCTTCGGTGAAGATTCGCGACTTGTTTCTTTGCTCGTTGCAGCTTTCCTCTTCATCGATGAACGAGCTCGGGAATCCTTTTCTTCATCTTTTGTCGTGCGAGTCGGCGTCTTCATTCCACTTTTTGACCGTGACGAGCGGGCTCGTCGCTTCTTCCGCTTCACCTTTGTCTTCTCGTAATCCATGAGCACGTGCGGACATCCTTTGAACGATTGTCTCGGTTCCCACGTCATCTCATCGTAGCCAACCCATTTCGTTTGGTAGAGAAACTCCCCTTCATGAAAGGCGTCGGCGAGAATTTTCTCGACTTCGTACATCTCTTCTTTCTCTTCATCGTTTGACTCGGCAATCTTCGTGGGCTGGCTCGATGCGGTCTTTCGTTTCATCGTGGACAGCCTAAAATGAGAAACTTAGTTAATGTGCAAAAAAATAAATAGAAAAACAATGAAAATATACAAAAAGGGGTCAAATCTTGGATTCCTAGACTAAATAGCTTTAAATCCGTTAAAAACGTCAAAGACGAAGCATTAATGGGTCGATACTTCCAAATATTTGCATCTTTAAGTAGTAAATGTTGTTTAAAATCGTTAAATCAGCGGAAATGCGAAATTCGGGAGTTTTTATTGAAAAAACAAATGAATGAATGGATTTAAAAATGGACTATAAAACGCGCCAGAAAGGGGCACAGTTTAGAAAACGAGAAAGCGTCGTTTTTTGGGGAAATTGTTTTTCCACACAAATGATGTAACTGTCAAGTGTTTTTAGCATTTAATTGTATATTTAACGTACTAAGCATATAAGCGTTGATGAAAACCGTTAAAAAGCCGCTCAACGTCTAGAAATGCTAAACGAGGCTTTAAGGCGTACTTTATGCTCAAAAGTACGTAAAGACACGTTTTCTGGTGCACTCAAATCTCTAACCATTCCGGATCATCGATTTTAATACGCATAGTTTAACGATATCAAAAAAGGATAAAAAGACAAATTTTCAGATCAGGACGAAACTCTAGCTAAATTTTTGCAAAATCTCATATCAAAATCAAAGCAAAAAAATATCAATGGACTTCCTGCATTCACAAAAATTCTTCTACACCAATTCAAAGATTTATTTGAGTACAAATATTCCCCAGAAAAACACCAATTCACAAATCATTCGCATTTCTTGCATTTTTCCTCAAAATTCCTCGGCTTCTTCTTCGTACAATCGAGTGAGATCAGAAAGAAGACAATCCGTAAACTCTTCAATATCGGCTCCATTCTTGCGCCAGTATTTGATCAACTAAATAGAATAAGCAATAAGTTTACTCATTCAAAATTAATTCATAAAAATTACTCACATCTTTCCCAGCCCACGTACTTTCTTTGCACAGTCCAATGTGTATGACGAGATCTTCAAGCACCGGATAAACCTACAAACTTCTCATAGCCTCTGTATGGAAAGTGTCTACCTCTTTAGTCGAGTGTTGCAACTTTTCTTGCATCTCGGGAGTCCATGCACGATTCTCGGAGAAAACGAGCAGACGACCAATCGCAGCAGCAACCAATGATGGCTTCACAGAGGTCAACGATGGGGCGAAAACTGAAAAAAACTTTGATAAGCTACGGTAGATAAAAACTATAAAACTTCACCTGAAAGAACAGCTAAAAGCTTTGCACGGGAATGTCGTTGGTTGGAGAGGCGATCACGGGATGAGAGCGGGGTGATTGCTTCCTGGAAAGATAAAAAAATAAAACATATTACAATTAAAACCCTACTAGAACCAAGCGTGTAAAATCCATCACCGAGTGTCGGCCGAGCTCGAAATTGCAAAGTTCTAGGAGCTGGAAGAAATTTTTAGAACAAGAACAGAAATTTAGATCAACCACATGCTCATAACGATTGATCTCGGCGATTTTAAAGGTGCGAACAAGGTCCTCGGCAAGGGGGCACTAAAAAAAATTGATAAACTAACAGCTACTATAACATTAGATCTTTTTTTCAAAAATAAACCTGTGTCTCGAATTTGACGGCCAATTGAAGAGCGGCAAGGCCAGCAGATTCGAGTCGTTTTTCCTCATCTTTCAGCTGAGTACCCGATAGTAACTAAGATGTTGTAAATAGACAAAGTCACGTGAAAACTCACCACAAGAAAACGATCCAACAAGTGCACGGCGAGGAAAAAGCTGTTCGTCGGGTGATAGCAAGGCTAAAACTAAAGTAACAAGTAGATTTCTTGAATTTTACATGATAGCTCCAAATCTCGTGCAACCAGGCATAGTAGACGGTCCTTTTGCGATCACCGAACTGCGAATGGTCGAAGTTGATGGGTAGAAACTAAACAAAATGAAATTGAATGGATTCAAAGCACCGATTACCTGATATGCGTACATGTAGAGAATATTATCAGCGAGGATTGATGCGCATCGCTCGTCACTCACATTTGACACAGGGAGATTCGCGCGTGGCTCGACATCGCCTCCAATTGGCTCCTAAAAGCTCAAGAATTTAAGAACCATTACTTTTACGAGTCACAAAGAAACTCACCTCCACGCGATGTCTGACCAAATTCGAGAGCACTCCCTTGAAGCGGCTGTAGATGTGAGTGGCCATCGAAACGCCTGTGCTTCTCTAAAAAAAGACAAAAGTTATTGGACTTATAATTTAACTAACTTATAATATACTTATAAAATACTTATAATATAATTCTAAGTTACTTACTCGATTTCCAGGAGCTTCCGAGGCAGAACGTCGCAATTTCTCCGTCTTTTGCATGGCTCGGCGCGAGACCTGAAGAAAATGACAGTAAAAAACTCTAATAGAACGCCCCCCTCCCCTATAGGAGCGCCGCGTAGTCTAAGTTTACTCTCAAAGAACCGCTCATATCTCGACGCACAGACATTTGCTTCTGCGCGCTTGGGTATCAAATTAAAGTAGAGAGAGAGTGGATGATTTCTCGAGATATAACACATACTTTTAGCATTAACCAGCGCTAACCAGCATTAACCAGCGAAAATCGGCTCTTTTTTTGCCACTTTTCAATCATTTTGTTCTAAGCGCTGGTTAATGCTAGAAACAAGTGTTATATCTCGAAAGATCACCCATTATCTCCACTTTAATTTGATACCTAAGTGCACAGAAGCAAATGTCTGCGCATCGAGATATGAGCGGTTCTTCGAGAGTCAACTCAAATTACGCGACGCTCCTATAGTGGGTTTCTGTTAGAGTATTTACGGTAACTTAAGATAAATCCCTAAGCACAACACAATCAAATATATAAAACCGACCACATTTCTTTGATCTTGCAGTGGGGCCCTTGATCGATCGATGTGTCCCTCGATTCGCATATTCCGCATCGTTGTCCATTTTGTGGCTCGTGGTGGCATCTTCTCGATCGCCTCATCTTCGTTCACTTCGCCCTAAAATTAAATCACTTACAGCACTCCTTCTATCAGAATTTATCAGCCTATTAGGTCTCAAAAAGTACACACAATAAGTGCTGGGACGAATGATTTCCTGATTTTTTTGCTCAAAACAAAAGACATTTGGTATTAGCACGAGCCAAGTATGTTATGAATTTATTTTTTTTTTTGAAAAGAGACAAAAATTTCACTCACAATCGAGACAGAGATCGAGCGGCGACGTGTAGAATTGGCCATCTAAAGCAAAAAGTTTTTAAATTCAAAAATTTCAACAAACTTAAGCTACCTTAAACTCAAAAACAATAAAATCAAAGAAAACTCACATCGTCAATTCGTTGAAAATTTGCTAGTTCAGACGAATTTGAAGTGAATCGACGAGAAAGCCGCGGAGAGAAAGTGACATGAAATGAAATGAAAATGAAATGGAGGGAAGAAATTACTTACTTTTAAATCGTGTTTAAATGCAAATTTGCCATGTAAATTTAATCTTCAAATTCATCGAAGTTGACTGAAATTTGGGTTTAAGTTGCCATATAAAACCTTTTCGAAGAAAGAGAAAATCATTCTTTTCGCATGCGTCTCTTCGTTCTCATCTCTTTCCTTGCCGTCGTCGTTACTTCACTTCGAGAAGAGCCGGGAGTCACTGGAAAAGATGCTGTTTGTTTTTTTGTAACGTTTTTGACTTCTTCTTCGCATAGTGAAGTTGTTTTTGATAAGTTTCGTTGAAAGTGTTCGGCGTTACCTTCTTGTTGTTAAGTTCAAATTAAAATTGGGCTAGATTTGTGCACAGTTTGCCAAGAAAAGAAAGCATTTCAGCTCTAGCATCATTTAAAGAGTGTATTTGGATCAAATTAAACCAATTGCTACCACAAAATCACTATTTTCACTATTTTTATTTACTTAACCGGCTCAACTTGTTAATATTTTGTTGTTCAGTCCGCAACAACTTCAAAAACGACGACAAATTTGTATCCTATTGACGAGGTGAGAGAGAATTTTATGTTTTTATCGATTTCTTGATTTAGGAGCCAACAAAGACGACCATTTGGACGGTTTTTTTCAAAAATAAACTACTGATCTTTTGTTTTTAGACAACAAACAGTCTAGAAGTGTCCACAACAACTCCATTAGTAAATGAGAAGTGCGAAATCATCACATTGCCGATAGAATGCTACTATTACTCCGAAAGGCTAATGACACATCGTGAAAAGGTCTTTTTCTTGACATTCTTAGCTTTAACAACTCACATTTTAGATACGGGAAAACGTTTGCGATTGTGCGATTGGTGGTCGAGAGAACGAAAGCACCAAGTACTGTGAATGGAACAAAATTTATCAAACGAGTGGGTTTTTTTGAGTATCTTTTACTTGTTTTGAAATCAATTTAGATGGAACACATTTCGATCAGTGCACGATTGTAACGAAAGTTTGCCCGGGATGCCCGCCAACGAATGATACGTGCAAGGACGCGTTTAGCAATGAGTTTACAAAGTAACGTTCGATTTGTCTTTTAAATCACAACTCAAATGTTCAGATGTTTCATGCCAGCAAGCCAATACCCACACACATTTCCCCCGCATCAAGCCTCGGTGCTCCCGTCTTTGGAGTTGGACCTCAAGAAGTGTGATTATAGGAATAATTCGGTATGTAATTGCTGTTTCTTCATATTCTTGATCAACTTTAGGGAATGTTCTCTGGAATGACGTCGGTTAGAGATGAGGAGTTCTACCAGTATCTGCTGACTTGCGAACTTCCAGCGTGTGGACCTCGTCTTCGCTTACCGGCAGCAGATAATGGGACTCATCCGAGGTATGGTCGTTTTTTAGGTCCTGACCTTTCGCTCAACTTCTAACTTTAGCTTAACATCTTAGGCTTTTGAACATTATCGTTCTCATTAAATTGTTATTCTTTAGCTTCCAATGGTGTCTTCCTCCTATCATGAATAGCGTCTCACAGTTGGAAGTTAGTTGATATAAATCTTTGGCTTTGGTACATTGATCGAAAATTTAGTATTGTCCACTCTATGCGCAAAAAATCCCGACTTTTGGTGGTTTCAGCGACACTCAAGCTTTTCATGCGCTCGAATATGATACGGTTTGTAGTATTACATTGTTAAAAACTTGTTTTGATTTTAGATGTGTGTCTTGCCGCCACTATGTGGGAATGATGGAAAAGTTGATCGGTGAGGATTTTAAGCGACTTTTTGATGAAATCTTTATTTCCAGAAAGAAATTCATGGCTCCATTAGTGAATGGCAAATGGGATGAGACTTATTGTGAGCGAGTGTGCAATGAAAATGAGATGTGAGTGGTTTCGATTAGAAATTTTACCTTTAGTTTGGCTAAAGTATGTCGATTCTAGCTTATACGTTTCTTTTTAGAGAAAAAGATTGCATCCCGGTGCCGCCATGTGAAGGAAATCAAACAATCACTCCTGATCCACGTGCAAATCGATTTACAAAGGTTAGTTTTTAAAAGCAATAGTTATTATTAGGTTGGACTCATCAATTCTAGGTTGATCGATGCGCACGTTGGTGCACTGAAGAAGAATCTGTCAAGCTGTCAACCGATTCGCCGTGCATTCGACTCCCAATATGTGATTTCGATGGAAAGCCGGTAATATTTAATATTTAAAAAATAATTTACAGTAAAAACTCTAACAGAAACCCCCTATAGGAGCGACGCGTAATCTAAGTTTACTCTCCAAAAAAAACGCTTATCTCTCGACAACGGTACGTTTATTTTTGCGCGCTTGGGTATCAAATTAAAGTAGAGGGAATGGGTGATTTTTCGAGATATAAAACATATTTCTAGCATTAACAAGCGCTTAGAACAAAACGATTGAAAAGTGGCGAAAATCGGCTTTTTTTGCCACTTTTCAATCATTTCTAAGCGCTGGTTATGCTCTAAAAATAAGTGTTATATCTCGAAAAAATCACCCATTATCTCCACTTTAATTTGATACCTAAGTGCGCAGATGCAAATGATGTCTGCGCGTCGAGATATGAGCGGTTCTTTGAGTGTAAACTTAGACTCAGCTACGCCCCTATAGGGGGTTTCTGTTAGAGTATTTACGGTACATTCATTTACAAGTTCAATGTTTTTTCTTTAGAGACCTCTCGCCTGAACCCCTTGGCACACTTCTCGCTGCGTGATGATCATGCAAGCCTAGCTAAGCCTAAGCCTAAGCCTAAGCCTAAGCCTAAGCCTAAGCCTAAGCCTAAGCCTAAGCCTAAGCCTAAGCCTAAGCCCTAAGCCCAAGCCTGGGCCTAGCCAGGCCTAAGCCTGGCCTAAGCCTAAGCCTAAGCCTAGGCCTAAGCCTAAGCCTAAGCCTAAGCCTAAGCCTGGCCTGGCCCGCAAGCCTAAGCCTAAGCCTAAGCCTAAGCCTAAGGCCTAAGCCTAAGCCTAAGCCTAAGCCTAAGCCTAAGCCTAAGCCTAAGCCTAAGCCTAAGCCTAAGCCTAAGCCTAAGCCTAAGCCTAGCTAAGCCTAAGCCTAAGCCTAAGCCTAAGCCTAAGCCTAAGCCTAAGCCTAAGCCTAAGCCTAAGCCTAAGCCTAAGGCCTAAGCCTGAAGCCTAAGCCTAAGCCTAGGCCTAAGGCCTGAAGCCTAAGCCTAGGCCTAAGCCTGAAGCCTAAGCCTAAGCCTGAAGCCTAAGCCTAAGCCTAAGCCTAAGCCTAAGCCTAAGCCTAAGCCTAAGCCTAAGCCTAAGCCCTAAGCCTAAGCCTAAGCCTAAGCCTAAGCCTAAGCCTAAGCCTAAGCCTAAGCCTAAGCCCTAAGCCTAAGCCTAAGCCTAAGCCTAAGCCTAAGCCTAAGCCTAAGCCTAAGCCTAAGCCTAAGCCTAAGCCTAAGCCTAAGCCCGCCCTTCCAACGCCCTCAATGGTTATCTTTTTGCATTAATAGTTTATTTCAAAAACCTCGACATTGAAAATTAACTGCTGCAGCCTTTTGAGACTTTTAATGAATTTCACAACTAAAAAGTAAGAAACGGGCAAAGATTGGATGAATCGTTATATTAAACACTTTATCTGTCTGCATAAAATATGTTCGATAAAAAGTTGATAAAACGACAAACATTCTAATTAAGTTTGTTGTTCAAGTTTCTACATATTCTGTATATGATTCTCGGCCAGATTCTCGGCTAATGTTGTAGTATGATAGCAAAATTGTTTGAGTCTTTAGGAATTGGAAAAAAACCAAATTAATAATCTTGTTCTTTGCAGCAAAAACCCAATGAGATCACAGTTAAGCAAGATACAACTGCTCAAAAGAAAAAAAATTCGAAAATGAAATGTTCATCAATCTCTTCTCGAAATGCAATCATCTTGTCGTCCTTCGGTGAACACAAAATAATACATGATCAAGAAAAGGAGGAATGATAACGGATAGAATACGCGACAGAAATTATCCAAGTATCTGAAAAGAATCAATATGGTGGTTTTGTGCATGATGCGAATCTCTAATTTCAACAACAACGAAGTAGGCCGTATTTCAATCAGTCTAATCTTGATTTGCTTATTCACTGACCTCCCCGTTTTATGATATCGATTTGCTTTCGTTAGAATTGCATCCCTCAACTCTTCTGTTACATCAGCTTTCTTTTTCATTGCCCATTTACGCTGAAAACCTCAAATATATAAGTGTATGGATTGAAAATGTTATTAAGCATGTAGAAATGTTATTAAGCAGTAAACTATATCTCTGTGCTGAGGTCACAATTTCAGGACCGTTCTTGGTTATGCTCGAAAGTTTTTGTTTGTCGAAATGTTGAGAATTAAGAACAAGTTAGCTTTGGATGATTGCTCTCTACCAATTGTCCAGCTCTTTTATCAAATCCAATCACAAAAAGTGTTTGTAGAAGTGTGAAGAAAACGAAACCCGTGATGAAACCAAACCATAAATCGATTGCCTAAAGTAGTGAGCTAAATTTGAATTGAGATAAGCAAACTTTCAAATATGAAACACTCGGTAAATGCTCTCTTGCACCAGCTGATTCTGTTGATAAAGTCAAAAGTACAGTAATCGCCACACCAATTCGTCCCTCCATGAATTCTTCGGGCAACCAAACACCTACCTAAAATCACTTTTCGATCGGACTCGATGTACCTTGAGCTCAAGGAAACACATCTCTTTTAAAAATTCTTTTGTTCTTACAAGGGAAGGATGATTGGGTCCCGTGGCCCTTTCTGATGATATATAGACCATTCGACACAGAATTTTACGCCGATTCCAACGATGTAAAAATTAGCTGCCAAACTGGCATAGAAGTTTTGAGCCTCTCCTTTTAAGCCGATTTTTTTTGAACACAAACCCTTCACCGGTGGCGGAGTGGTTGAGTGCTCGTACAGCAAGCTGAGGGTCGAGAGTTCGAACCCGATCCGTCTCATTTTTTCGCTTTTTTTCCATTCTACGTTCTTCTGTGTTTGGCGGTGATTACGCGCCAGTCGGCAGCTAATTTTTACATCATTGGAATCCGGGTAAAATTCTGTGTCGAATGGTCTATATATCACGAGAAAAGGCCACGGGACCCAATCATCCTTCCCTTGTTAGAAGTAAATTAAGCCAATGCTAATCCCTGGATTTTCTTTGTAAAATTTGTGACACTTTACCCAAGAGAACATCAAAGCGAGCGATGTTGGTATATATGTTTGAGCAACATGAAATCCGACATCTCTTTTCAAGCGGAACACTGCTCGGAGACACGAGAATTCACCTCAAAAGCAATAAATCAATCAACATGGTACATATCGTTTTTGGAATCTACAAGAAAGAAAGTTCTGGCAATGAAATGGAAAACCTGATTTCCTTGTCCGATTACATGTCCTTGGATCATATCTATCAATGTAAAGTTCGGGTAGTTTCACATCGGGATTTTTATCGATTGCATCCTAGAATCTTTCTGTACGTTAGTTTAATTATTTTTGTTACCTTTTTTCGTGTAAACCATTCAAAACGAACCGTTTCAATTGGATAGGCAACTAAATGTTTATAGTTAATTGAAATTCATTTGATAACTTACAAGATTTTATTTGTAGTTCGCATGTCTGCTTATCGTGAGGATATTTGCATAGGATCAAATTGCATGCCGGTCTCAATTTGATTCTAAACATTTTTTAACTTTAATTGCTTTTCCATTAAAACTACAATCAGATATTAAAGGCAAATCAATTTTGAGCCTGTTTTAAGCATGCAATCCTCAACATCAATTCAAACCTCGTTTCATAGAGAACTAAGCCATCGGGGAAAATTCGCATAAGAAAATTGAGAAATGTCACTTCGTGGAACTCGGCTTCTTTTGCATTAGCAAAAAACGGATCGGGACGCCAAATTTTCTGGAGATTTTTGACATGAAGTTTTCGGTTGCTCCATCAAATTCACCTCGAGTATTTCTTCCTCCTTAACCAAAATCGGCTTTTCGTATGGATTGACTAAACGTGCATCTCTCCATGCCATCATCAAATAAATATCCATATCGTAGTCCTGAATTTTGTGCTTTTTGACGAGAATTTCAAGCGAGCACAGAGTTATTGCTAGCAGCATCAATACTTGCTTTATACTTATATTCACTTCACTAACCATTGTAGATGTCTGAAAATTACTCATAGACTCAATATATATACCAAAACGAACAGATACGGCACTTCCCTAAATATCAAATTATATTGGCCTCATTATTGATTGTTTTACTTGAAAGACAATTGGAGCAGAGAATGGATCATATTGATTTTTATTGAGAACCGGCAGAATATAGCTTCCACCAAGCGTTCTAAAAATGTAACCTCCTCAGTGAGATTGCTTTATAAAAAAGAACATTTTTATTTAGCACCTCAAAAACACTAATGATATTCATATCTTATACCAAACCTGACCGAACCATTTGTTCGCGATAAAATATCATCAACTTCGGTGTCATTTCTCAATTTTTCAGCGAGTGCAGTCAAGTTGACACCAGCTGCCTCGAGTGCACTAATATTCACCCCTATCGGACCTTCGATTTCGACACCTACAAGTTTATATAAAATAGGTATGTGCAGTTTTCACGTAAAATTATATTTCAATCAATCAACCTTCAAAATTACTGCTATCGAATTCATCGACGGCTTTCGGCACATATTCAGCACAGATTCCCGGAAGGTAAAGACTCACCTAAATTTGAATCGAATTTTTAGAAATTAAAAGCTGAAAAGTGGTTCATTTCTGGGTACAAATTCTACCCGGTTATTTCCTGCTTATCTCCTTGTATTGCTGTAACGGTGGGTTTGCTCTATTCAAACCATGGACTTAAAAGCCAGCAAAGTAGTTAAACAAAAGCTTGAATTGAGTTGCTCAGTGTTAGGATAGAGGTAGAGGTAATGGCAAGTGGGGTTTGATTTGGAATATAACTAGGTAGCATAGAAATTGATCTAATATTTTTAGCCAACCGATGTACTCACTTTTTCGTATCTTTTGTAAGCTTCACCCGGAATATCCAGTCCAAGAGCCTCAAGAGCCTTGGGTGAAAGGAAGCTTAGTGTTGGACTGAAAAATAATTGCTTGAAAAGTTCTTTTCAATTGCTAGGTTAATTCTATTGCATCAGCTGTTTTTTAAAAAGTCGGATGTGAATTATCTTGGGGAAATACAAAAGGGTAACAGAATTGGGTACTTGTGACTCTTACACCGCCCACTTTACATTTGGATGATCAATTTGCATTTAAAATAGGGTCACTAGTCCACTATGAAGTAAGAGTCACAAGTCCACTATGACGAACTTCTGACCCTTACGCCGTCCCATTTTGAATCTTATAACTCATTTTGCATAGCATTATTACCATATCACTACATCCTTATGAGTCAGACACATTTTCTATTTATTCTTGGTGATAAGATCGTAAAACTAAATGGAAATGGCCTCTTCTAAACGGAAGTTATGCTGGGCAAAGTGGACGGCGTAAGAGTCACAAGAGCCTGAAATTGTTTACAATGCAAATCACAAAAACGACTAATTTGGGCATCTATTTCATTACAAAAGTCTTTGTTTATGTCTTTGAAGCTTTGAAGTCTTTCGTACCTTGTTTCTTCAGTTGCATCAATTTCAATCCATCGATGAAAAAATTTGTTTGATTTTGTTGTTGTGTTGATAGGTTTGCCCTCCTCATCAACCACAATAACTTCAGCTGAATCAATTGCTTCTTGAGATTCTGGCTGAAAATTGCAGTTTTCTTATCTGTTCATTATATTTCATTTCTCTTTATGCTTTACCTTTTCATCAGTCCATTCTTCACTTTTCACTTCTTCTTTCACTTCAACCGCCATTCTTTTCACTCTCAACAAAACACCCGGTCGAATATGATGCCTAGGTGTTAAATAAATACTTACTTCACTATAGAACTTGAAAGACCGTTTACTCATAGCTTTTTTCGTTATTTATACCTTTGGTTTTGATGTTGATTCCATTGCCATTGTTCATCTTTTGGATCGATTCCCAATTCTGATTCTTTTTGCTAAAATTTGTCTTTTGATGGTCCAATTATTTCGTTAGCAAAGTTTCATAACAAGATTTTTCAAAAAGAATTTCAATGTATGCGTGAAGTTTAAGCAAATCACCCACAATAGTTTGCGGATAATCGGGGAATTGTCTTCTATCTATCACTCCAATCACTTGATGATGATGATGTGTTTCGTCAAATCCACTAGTCGACTTAAAGCTTAATTTACCTTTTAACGAAATAATATATCACCAGTTGTGCTTCTTTTGATGTCTCATCTTTCATTGATTCTCCATCAATTTCTTTTGATTTCTTAATCAATTCCGATGTTGAATCAGTTGTGTTAAAAAGGCGGATTCCTTAAAAAATTTGGTTCTTCAATGACCTGAAACTGATACCCAATTCTGTTGCATTGAAAACAATTTCGTTGAGCATTTCGGCTAATTTTGCCAATTTTGCCGTGTCTGGGTTGAGTTCTTCCTAGAATGTGTTTTTACTCTTTAAAAACCACTATTAGTATTAGTCATAAGATACTTGGTAAACTATTGTTCGTAGGCGTGCTGATAATGAGCTGACTGACGCCGACACTATATTTAGGTGTGCTACTCCCAGATAGCGTTTTTAAGACGCATCAACTTTCGAGAACTACCATAATCTCCCCTTTAGTTTTATATCTTTGGCATAGTTAGCAGATCATTGCAGAACTAGACCAAACTTAGATAGATTGGTTAACAATATAGGAGTAACTCAAGAGAGATTATGGTAATTTTCGGAAATATTAAGAAACAATGTTGAGAGGATCACACATAATCATATAATTTGCTTTTCCTTCAAACTCACCTTGAATGGCTCACAAATCGGACTTATTTCTGTGACTCCAATCTTTTTCGCGTCTTCCGTCTTCCGAAACCACAAATCTCTTTCATGTAGGCCGCACACTTCTTTCCAAATAATGCCAATTGCCTGTATGCCAATTGCATGTAAATCAGTATCAATTTGATTTCTACCTTAAATTCTTTGAGTAAATCTTCAGCCAACCCCAATTCGAGTAATCGCTTTTTATTGTCGACCACTTCTAGAATTGAGCTCACTTTAGTTTACTTTAGATTTGATTTACCAGAGTCCACCAAATTCAGTTCCTCTTCCGTTATTGGTGAGGTCTCATTTTTTATCTAAACTTTTATGTGTTTACTACATGACGATTGTAAACCCTCTGCTTTTTTTTCCGAAGCTGAGCTTTTCTAGGAGAGCTACAGCATTAACTACTTAAAGTATCTCACTTCAATCACTTCGGACAAAGTTTCATTTGTATCTCGTTCCCATTGTGTTCTCCATGCCTATAACATTTATTCTTATTAACAACTTCCTAAAAATCAACAAACTTTGCATTCAGCAATTGCTGATAGATTCAACTGTCGATCTTCAGCTTTCCATTTTGCATCCAACCACAAAATAGTTCTGAACTTTCATGAGATTTCATATAATGCTTGGAGATGTATATGGACTGGAAAGCTAGTTTTTATACGAATTACCTATTTTTTGAGTCAACTTCTCCATGTTCTTCTTCTAAGGCCTGTGTGATATTTGATAGATCACTCACTCCATCATTTAACAATTTTTGAATATCTAAAGATAAGACAATGTTTGAGAGTCGCTAGGCCTGGAAATGAATGCCTCTGTTTTAACTTCTGACTCTAAGCCGATCTTAAATTTTAATTGTAGCCTCTCACCATCAGGTTTTTTCGTTTCTCCAGAAATCGTTGTTGTAGCAATGGTTGTAGTTGTTGTTGTTGTCGATTCCTCTGTAACTGTTGGTGTTTCCTCGGCTTTTATTGACACTGATTCTGTTGAAGGTTTCCTGGAAAAAATTCTACGGCTTACTCTATGAACGTAAAGACAAACACAGTTGAATATGCCCATGGTCTCAGTTGTTCATCGTCAATTTGCCACATTCCTTCATCGTCATTTTTCTCAAAAGCTCGATCCGTTCCTGGAACCGAGAAGCAACGTATTACAATAACATTGCCCTAGCACCAATAAATGAATTTCTATTACGTTATTTTCCAACTCTAACATGACGTGCTGCTGAAAACTACTATTATTTTTTTTTACCTGATTGTGATTTTCGTTTCGCATCGATTAGATGAAAAGAGTGAATAAGTAGAAAGAATATTAAATTGCGCATATGTAATTAAGAAATATATTTGGCCAAAAATCTACACCAAAGACAGTAAACTTGCAAATGACAATGTATTCCTTTCCTGCTCGAAACTTTTCTCAGGATGTTTCTTAGTGACAAAAACGGCAAAAATGGGAGCAAATTGAAGGTCAGCTTTGATTTTTGGGGTGTGTGAATGGGGGAAAAGAGTTGAAAAGAGTGAATGAAGGAATGGAAATGGAAAAAAGGGAATTGTGATCGAATCAGTCTCATCTCGGTTCTCTCAATCAATCAATCTGTAACTTTCACTGTCTTTTGAATATTTGACATCCATGCGACATTTGATGATAAATTGGTAACACATGTAAAATTGATAATCATCTACGAAGTCTTATTGTGTCGAAAAAAACATAGCTTTTTACCTTAGAATATGAAAAGTTTTCATATTAACCGAGGAAAAATCCCTAAATTGTGTATGTGTATCATTGTGATTCCAACACAGGATATTTGATGAATAATTCGGTAGTTTTTTTGTGATTATGTATACTCATTTTGTGTTTGTTATCAATATCAATATCAATATCAATATCTCAACCATATATATCAAACACTAGTTGTGTTTAAAATTTACAATCAAAATTTATCTCATTAAATTCAACATATTTCAAAATGAGCAAATACGCAAGCATTAAAAAACAAAATATAGAAATCTTTGTGTAAAGAAAACAATGAAAAAAATTAAGAGAAAATGCCCGTTTTGAGGTGAAGTAAAGAAGAAAAACAAAAAGAAAAGAGGGACCGGGGGAATTAGTGTCGATTATACCCCAAAATAGTTTGATCCATTCATCAAGTCGGTTATACCCCCTAGATTAGTGCATTTTGTGGGATGTAACCGACTTGATGCACGGGTCTTTTTGTGGGGATACAACCGATAAGTACCGACCGGAGAATTGGGTAAATGAAGGGATGAATGCTTTCCTAGCTGTGCGATTAGGCCAAATAACGATTTGTTGCAACACTATTATAAACGAAATAAGGTGGCAAAGAATGCTTTATTATTGAAAATGTAAATTGTGTTTTTTCATTACCTATTTCGGCGGTAGTCCTTTGTGCTTAGGCTTTTTTAGAGTGTGAAAACAAAATCGGTATTTTGCCAGAATCATGCACCTGAACGTTCCTAGAAATTGTAACTTTCATAGTGCAAAATTTAGAATTAAAAACAAAGTATCGATGGTTAGCCAATGTGAGTTTCAAAGTTAAACTCAAAGAAAAACGCAACCTGGAATCTGTATGAAAGTATGCCTTTTGTTTAGAAACAAAGGAAAACTAGTACAGTTGAGAATGACAAAAGTGATATCAATGAAGAAATTCTTGTAGATGCATTGCACCAATCCGAATCACTAAAATTTGATGATGTTTTTAATGTCAAAAGGCTTTTATTTTCTTAGCCACAGTTAAATGGATTGCTCTATCGGTTTTCATCTAGTTTTTGACGCCTTCAAATTTTCCAGATTATATCTTCCTTTTAAAGTACTTTAGGTTAATTTAAAAAATTCTATATTTATCATTTGCTCGAAAAGTTAAGAATCTGGCTAAGACGTCAATAAGAATATGCTTCTATGTATGTATTACGTTTTTAAAAGGAATCAATTTTCTCACCTGCAATAACATATTTCATTTTCGATTCCCAATACTTTCTCCACTTTACAATATGAAGTATCCCTTTTTGGATCAAATGCTTGACTTCCTTGACTTCGGTATGTCCTGGAAATCCTATAGGGGAATCATTTTGTTTGAAAATTTATTTTGATCATTAGTTTTTTGATAAATTATGTAGGCCTTTGTAAGTAATCATCAAAAGATCCGTTAGGTTCAGATTCCAAAATAGTCAAATGAGGAGACTAATTTGGGTCAAAATTTCTCTTTTTTAATCTCAAAGACGATTTCTTTCAAAAGGAACATAATTTATGAAACAATCAAATGAGAGAAGGAATTTGCTTGCAAATTTTCGACATTAATCACTGTGAATCTCCCAATCTAAAAAGAAAAGTAGTGAGTTGAGGTAGAGGGAAATTTTGAAAAAAAAAATTTAAAAGGAGTTATGCTAAGATCCATTGCAATGAGTTCCAAAAGAGATTAGTGAAAATTGAAAAAGCTACGGTTTTTATGCTATTTCATGCTTTTATTTTCTCTCTTTGCTTACTTTGTCGACATTTCCAAAGTTCGCCATTCAGCTCTCAAAATTTGACCGCGATTTTATACAATTGGAAAAAATAGAAATTTTTAAAATCTGTCATGAATCGAACTCTATATTAAGCGAATAATAAGTGTCTCTAGGCTTTGTTTTATATTCGATTCGACATGCAAACTTATTAGCCTTATTTTAATAGTTAGAAGGAGTCGAGTACACTAGCATCAGATACACGTTAAATTTCTAATGAAGTATCACTTACTCAGTGTGATTCTCACATCCCTTGCTCACGTATTTCCCATTACCTAAATGTGAAAATTAATTGAAATTTGTTTAATCTTGATCACTTACTAATTGATTTTATACAAATGTCCCCCCAACATTGGCCAGATGCACAACTTGTAGGCATATTGCATTGAAAACAGCGAATTTTTGCTGAAAGCTGGTTTCTTTTCTTTCTTTAACTGAGATGAGTCTTGGATAAGTATTTTGAGGCTTTACCCTGCTTTATACTATTTTATTATGATCAGATCTATTATAATTAGTTTAAACTCACCCCTTCCATGTCTTGATTGGGCATAAAATTGAGCATTTGTTTGATTGATGAATAGAATCGAAATAAGAAATATTGAGAATATAGATGGAAGTGAGAAGAAAGAAAAGGAGAAATGAGAAGTGGGACTTCTCGTTGGAGAAAAGATCAATCTCATCGAATCAAAGACTGATCAATCTGAAAATAATCATCCGAGCAATTCTACCCAATGTTCTTCTTTGATTTCTATTCGATCACCCAATCACTCAATGAATTCGATGCGTTTAGATATCTGAAATTAATTACAATTGGCTTGATTGTATTTAAAAAATAAAAACAAGCTAAATGTGGTAAAATATGGAAAAAAGAGCAAAGAACAGTGTTGCTCTCAATGTTTCTCAAAAAAAAAGTAAATGAGATTTATAAAAATGAAAACAAAAGATTCGAGAGAGGTGTGAGCGTGGGATTGCCAAAAAGTGAGGGGGAAAAAGTGAATGCAAATATTGCTTTCTATTTTATTTAAGGGAGGTTTTCGATCGAAGGTGGCTCGGATTTCACCTCGATTCCTCTTTCCCTTATTCTGCCAATTCCTTTTCCTATTTCTAACAAAGGTATTTGGAAAAGAAAAATATTCTCTCTAGACAACAAATAAACATAAATGTTCGACATGCAATCGGGTCCATTGGAGATATTTCACGACGCATAGCCGCACTTCGACATTTCTCACAATCAATTAGGGTATAAGGATCGTTCATTTATTTGAACATCAAGTTTTGAATCTATCCTTGATAAACAATACAATAAAGAAGACAATAAAAGGGACGGAATATCTTTAAGTTTATGATAAACTTGAATCGCTATTTTCACATTTATTCGGTATTTATTATGTGAGTTAATTTCTAATTAATAATGAGTGTAGATCGAAGGTGTAAGCTAACTTGAAGGAATAAATGAAGGGGATAAATTGATTGAAAGAGAAGAAATCCCCAGAGAATTACTCAGAGAGAGTACAAATGAAATCAAAAAGGCAAATTTGTAGAAAAGATTAGATGGCTTCAAGACGTCAATAGTCAGCAAAATATGGCTATTGATTTATTGCCTTGTTTAGATGCATCAACTTTGTTCGATTCTTGCTAGAGGCCATCGTCTGAATACAGTCCACCCCTCATCAAACTATATTTGTTTTAAGTAAAACAATACTGGCGATACTTAAGACGTGTTATATCAAATTCTTCAAGAATGACACAAACTTGATCAAATCAAAGATTCATTTACTATAAGATAAGTGATAATGTTTATTTTCTCGCCTCAATCAAAGCCACTGTTTATCAAAGAGAAACGAAAAAAGGATTGGTGATTGGGATTAATCGGTTTTCCCTCAAAAAGTGACATTTCGGATAAATAGACACCACCTCAATGAGGGGAAGAATGGGAAAAGCAAAGAGATTGGATGAGATGGAGGGACTGAAGGGGCAGATCGATCATTCAATGAGTGTCGATTAAGAAAACGATCTTATTCAAGTGTTCTCACTTTGGATATAACTAATGCTTCTTTTTTCTTACATGAAAACTCGTACAAATCAGAGAATCTAGTAACAAATCAGTATTTTTAAAAGTTACTGAAGTAGACAGGGAGAATAATGCAACACCAGAAGACCATGTCAATTGCAAAACTTTCCCCTCGAATCAAACAAATCTTCAAAATGATGTAAAAGGAAACGGAAAAGACAAAAAAAGCAGTGATAAATTGAAGCAGGGATTGAGAAAGATCCTTTTGGTGTGGGTGATCGTTGAAGAAGCAAAAAGAAGAGAAGCTCTCATGGGAGTTGCCCATCAGAGGCCAAAAGGGTGAAGGGGGATTGGATAGGGAGATTGGCTTTGTTGAGAATGAGAGGAGATCTCTTTCTACTCCCCCTCCCCCACCACTTATCCCATCTTTACTTCTTTTTCTTTTCTTCAAATCTTTCTTCATAGATGGACCTCCTCCCTGAAGTCATCACTCTTCAACTTTCAAATAAAAGAGAGAGAAAACCTCGGATGGCACATTATTGCCATAACTAGTGACCCCCAAGGAGTCTCGAGAGTTTCCTTTTCATTTTACAAAGCCTTTGACAATCTTGTTCTATGGGGAATGAGTTGTTTAAGTTGTGACTTTGAAAAGAAAAAGTCCCGAAGCGACTTAGTGTCACCCGGAAAATAGATCTAAAAACAGCTATGCTTTTAAAGTATAACATCAGAAAGATTCACTAGATTTATAAAGATTTTACAAAGTAATTTCACAAAGTATCTTGTTTCTGAGCAAAAATTAATAATGATTGCAATATAGAGTAATAAATTGGATTTTCCAAGTAAAGAATGATGGAGTCAAGTCACAAAAAGCTTTCTCGTTTATCTTCTTTCTTTCTTCGTCAGTGGGCCTTTCTTCTCCACCTGTGCTTTTGGTCGGAAGGAAATCAATGAAGTGTGAATTAATCGCCCCCTTTTGATGAAATAAGAAATTGGAAAGAAATGCGAAAACGGAAACGGTACGAATGAATAAAAGAAGAAAAGAATAGGAAAAGAAACTGAGATTTCAGCTCACTTTACTTTTTGCCTTGTTTTTCTGAATTATTTGGATGAAGGAGATTATACAACTTTAAAAAAGAAAATTTGAAAAAATTGTTTATTATGCTACAAAAATCTTCTTTGCGAGTTACCAGTCATAAGTCTGGCAAAACAAAAATGAATTGAAAGGAATCTCCATTGAATGATGTGCACAATGGATGGATGTAGACACAAAACGATGTAGGTAAAGTTGTTAGTGGATATTGAAAATTAAAAGAGAAGAAAATATGCTGATTTATGATGATCTTTTCTCGTTTTGGAAAAGATTTTTTTTGTGTTGAGATGGGGCCCATTTGATCGGAAAAAAATGGAAAGAAAGGAAGAGAAGTGAACGGCCAAAGAAATGACAGACTCGACAAAGTGATCGATGTTGGGGAAATATGAGTAAAAGGAAAAAAGAGAAGTGGTGTTGATTGCTTAAGCTCAGACTTTATATAAGCAATATACAAATGGGTGTAACTATTAGGTTAAGCATTAGTTTAGCATAGATCTGAAAAAGTCTTGCTAAAAGTTTAGGATAAGTAATTATAAGGTAGAATTTTGGCAGATGCTTCGATTTTTCGATATTTCGTAAACACACTTAGTACTTTCAGATTAATCGGCATTTACACAAGTTATCTTTTAAATTGGATTAGCACAGTAAAAATCCAAAAAGTTCATTAATAAGTATACGGTGTCTCAAGTCTTAGATCTCGAAAATGAGAGAAAGATTATTGGAAATAACGAAGCTTATAAAGTCCCAAAAAGCTTGGAAAGAAAAGATTTGTTAAGCAAAATAGACTAAGAAGTTGGGAGAAAAATAGATGTGAAATGCTTTTGAAAGATTAAAAGACGCTGAAATAGAATGGAACATGAAATTTTTTAAAAGGGATTTCGAATTATTTGGAAGGAATTCACTCACTGGTTGCACAATGTTATTCTACGATATGAGCATCATCAATTCTTATATGGATAGTTTAAAATACTGAACGCTGAACAATAAATCTCCTCTTTGTCAGTATAACTTCCATACTTTTGAATACTACTTCAAATAAAATACTTGAAGAATGAATTCTCATCAAAAATTTCCTCTCAGAATTCTCTTTCCTTTTACTTTCTTTTCTTTTTCAATTGACATTCATCCAATCATTATTTCCCCATTTTCCTATTCTCAATTCTCTTTTCCAATCCCATTTCCCTCTTGTCATCGCGAAGATTTCCATCAAATTGACTCGAGAATTTTCGCGAACAAACATTAAATATGAACAAATATTCACAACAAATAAATTGAAAAGGAAACCTTCCAAAAGGAACTGAATTTCAGACTTTTTTCTCACAATAAATCTTAATAGTAAGTCCTTCCAACCTGAAAATGTGAACGCAAGCTTTCTGGTAAAAGTAGAGAAGGACTATAGGTAGAAGAGACTCTGACAAGAGAAAAACTAAAAACTATTCTGAACTATATAAAGTCGGATAGCTTAATAATTTACTACTAACTACTAAATAAAAATTTCGAATTCAGTGGGTACTTTGTGAAAAAAGAACGCTTAGACAAGCCGTCCTTTTCATCAAAGTCATCAAAATAACGATGGGGAGGAATATGCAAAACGAGAGGGATTCATTGAAGGAGAAAGGAAAAAAGAAATGGGAAAGGGAAAGGAAAAGGGAGAAGTCTCTAGTTGGGCCAATAAATCACTGGGTAAACGGGAGATGAAAAGACCAAAAAAAGGAAAAGAAAAAAGAAACGGTGTCTTTTTGGTGAAAAGGGACCACATTAGGGATGCATGATGTTTCGGAAGAAGTAAAAAGAGAAATGAAAAGAAAAGTAGAAGAGAAGAAGCACACCGGTGAGGAAAAGAAAAGGGAAAGAGCGGAGTTCGACCAAAAGATCGGAAGAATACCCACACGATATCCATACTGAAATAGATAAAAGTTTTGAAAGGGGAAAGTAAGACATACAGTTGAAATTGAAAAGTCGATGAGAACACATATAGGTGATGCGTATAATGTGACTTGCTCAAGAATTGACCGCGAGCTTTCAAACCTTCTCATCAAAAAAGTTTATTTGCTAAATAAAAGTTCCCTATGGTGGCTTACAGATTCACTAGAGCAACTCATTTACACAATGTATTTAGCATATCAGTTCTTAATTCCGAATACACGCAACTAGCGTCAAGTAACAGAAGAATAAACAAGAGCAGCCAGAACAGTTTCCCTTTTGATCATCAACACAAGTAAAAAGGCGAAATGGTCTAGTACCTAAACGTTCAAAATACCGTAATTGTGCCAAAGACAACAGATTTATCTTGTACAAATTCAAACATTCAGGCAAATTAATGATTACTGACTCTTTGCCTTGACTAGCCGATTTTGATACTTTTTTGAATTAGAATTATAATAACTCCTTTATATACATTTAAACATTCGTATTTTTCTAACTAGAGAAAATACTTGTAATAATTCTTCACATTTTTCATGTACAAACCTTCTCTTCTCCACGAAACATCTAAAATTCAAATGCGTGCCCATTTTTCATCGGCCGCAGATATCCACCAAAGGAAAAAAAACGGTGAAATCGCAAAATGAGTCGGAAAATAGCCATACTATTTTTGAAATTATGATCGCTCGTTTTGTGGTAAGAAAAATGTAAGCTAGGCTTGTCTTGTATTGAAAGAAAACAACTCTTTGAGCTTTTAGTTTGACAATAAATTTTATTGACCAAAAATTAGGTTTTTCTGGCAACTGTGAGCGTATTTTCAAATAAATCCTATAGAATTATTACCTTTCATCGTTAGTCCCTAAAGGACTTCCCAAATCTCAAAAAAATCCGTAAAATTCGGGTGGAGGATGAGGATTAAATAAGTGGCAAATGAATGTGGAAAAAATGGAGTGATAAAAAGAATGGAAAACTTGAAGATTGAGAAAATAAAGAAGAAAAAGGAATTCATCGATGGATTTGTTGAAAGAGGAAGAGAAAGAAAAGAGATATGAAAAGATTTGAAATGAAAAAGATGAAAGAGGTAAGAAGAATTTTGAAAGGAAGTAGATGAAAGGACAGGTGAGAAAATGGAAACACCGGAAGGGGAAGGAAAAAATGGAATAGGGAAGTATCCGACAACGAAGATTTTAGAGAGAAAGGATTTGAAATATATATCGAAAACTTACCAATACAGTAAAACCTCGGTAAGAAACAGATTCATATGGAGGTTGGCTTCTAACAAGGTTCAATATTTGCAGCTCTACGCATACGTGAAATGCCATGTCATTGTACTAAAACAAAAGATCTATACTTTGACTAAAATAAATAAGTGATTGGATTAATTTCCTCAAATGTATCCATTGATGTATATATAAAAGGGAAGGAAAAGAAGTTCACGCTTCACTGAACTCCTTACCTTTTTTGCGTTTTCTTTTTCCTTCACTCTTGCATTTTTGTTTCCATTTTCAATGGGACCAACTGCAGTTAAAAAGCCCCAAAATTGGACAAAAACAAAGATTTCTGAGGTTGAATTTACCTGAAAAGAAAAGAAAAAAGGAATTTTTTTTTGAACATTAGCTTTGATCTTTGGTGTTCTTTTGCTTGGAATGAGAGATTAGTTTAGCTCTACATGAAGATCACTCATTAAACACTTATGACCATGTCTGGTCAAAAGTTATACGTAAAATGGTCTAGGGTTAGCCGTTTAGCTTCAATTCAAAACAAAAATATGAAGTGTGCCGAATGATTTGGCTCTTAAATTTTCGTGGTATGTGAAGCTTCAACTTGGTCATTAATTATTAACTAGTGCTACCGATGAATAAAAAAGAAAAAGCTCAAGTGTACAAAAAAACAGAAAACTTTCGACGTTGTTTTTACTTCATGCAACACGAAAATCCGAAAAGTCCAACAACTCATTTCCGGTCCAAAAAAGGAGGGAAATTTTCCATGGAGAACCTAATTAAAAAGAGAAGGGAAAAAGAGATCGACATCCAAAAAAACCCAAAATTATGAGTTTTGGACAAGAAACGGATAAAAGGGGAAAATGAAGAGGAGAAAGACAAAAGTTGCATTTTGAGAGGAAGTGTGGAGAATGAAATGAAACAAAAAAGACTGTTGTGAGTGTTTTTCGATTCGCTTTACTAGGTAGATTTACAAAAAAATTCATAAGCAGGGCATTCGCTGAAACTTTCCCAGGTTAAAAATTTTATTAGCAGATTGCATGTGGAAAAATTGATAAAAGTCTAAAAATATTTGCTATATGAGGGGAAAAAATTATAAAAAACACTAATAATAAGATGTCAAAATTGACTAAATGGGATTTTGCGCAAGATTTTTTAAAAAAGTACAGGATTATAAATAAATCATTTTTAATTTCGAAGTGTCCTTCAGTGAAGTCGAGAGAGAAGATTGAGATATTCTTGACATTGCAAAAAACGAACATATGGATCATTTCGGAGAACCTGAAATTGGTAGTAAAATGGGTAGTAAAATGGTCGAGACGGGGTATCATTTAACTATCATTGATTATGAGCCATAGTTTGTGGTTTATAACCCACATTTACCCTTATGCATTGGTCTGGTAATGCAACTGATTGTGACAGTCGAATGTTTTCTTTTCTAGTGAGAGTCCAACACTAACAATAACATGCAGAAAGACGAGTAAATATGCTAGGTAGTTACAGTCTAATCAATTAAAAAGTATTCTGATTGCAGTTATCGAGGAACCAGGATGCGGTAGCTTTTTATAACGTTTTTAGAAAACGCTCTAAACGATAAGTACAGGCTTACCTTGATATTTATCATACTTCCACTTTCCAATCACAAATTCTCCAATCTCACCTGTTCGATATGTTTTATTGCTTCATCAAACAGAGTGATATCCACCTCTTTATCTGCGATTTTTCTCTCGATCACTTGACGAACGCCGAACGGGAGGAAAACCTAGAAAATTAATGTTTTAGTGATTTTAATACTTCTGTTTAAAGATTCAAAATATTTCATAAATAAAATGTTAGCCATTTTCCTCCAAACCTCATTGCTTTGTCCTTCAGCTAGATATGATTGTAGAATTACTTTTGCCAAATTCAACATCGCCGGACTTTTGTTCTTTGTTGCTCGAAATTCGACCACAGCCTAAGAAAATAAATTTGCAACCTTAAAACGAGGAAATTAAACCATATGCTTTTTACAGTTGCAGCTAAATGCATTGTAAGGTGTCTGTCAGTTTACAGTCAATTGAAATATACAGTAGCGAACATAATTTTAGCATATTTTTTGTTTTTACCGAAACTTTGTTGCAATTTAAGCTATCAAGCTAAAATTTGCCCTAAATGTAGAAAATCTTCTAAAATTTTTACCACTTAAAAAATCCTCACTTTCTGTTTATAAGATTTTTCAAGAATTTTGGTGTAAAGCTGAACGACATAATTATAGCATATTTAGCGTTGAGCTGCTAATATTTTCCAATTTTTTTTCTTTTTTGTTTGATATTTAGTTTAACACAAAATAATTATAATTTTTAGACATGGGTAGAAACAAGGATGCTTCAGCTTCAGAGGATGAAGGGCTTGAAGGCTACGCAAAACCATATAGCGTGGCACTTGGAATCAACAAACGTACGGCATCAAGAATTTTAAAGAGGAAGAGGCAAACGGGATCGACAGATGCTTATAAGCGTACTGGCCGGATCAAGAAAACCAGTGATCGAGATGATACGCGAATCGTTACGCTGTCAAAACAGGATCCACGAAAGACTGCAATCGATATCCACAAGGAATTGCCTCAACGAGTAAAAGAATCTATAGGTTCCAGAACGGTGCAAAGACGTTTGCAAGTCGCTAATTTTTTTGGTAGACGCCCGGCTCACAAGCCCCCGATTTCACCAAAAAATCGAAAGCTTCGACTCCAATTTGCTAAGGAGCACGTTGGATGGACTCTACAGGATTGGTCTAAATGCCTTTTCTCGGATGAAAGTAAATTTAATCTATTTGGATCTGATGGAATTGTGTATGTTAGACGCCTAACAAACCAAAAAAATTTGTTTCTCGCTACTTGATTCCAGCGGTAAAACACGGAGGTGGTTCTGTCATTGTATGGGGCGGCTTCTGTTCAACAGGAATGATACCATTGAAACGCATAGAAGGTATTATGAATCAACAATTCTACTTGGACATGCTTGAATCGCATATGCTACCATTCGTACAGCAAAAGTTTGGACAAAATTTCATATATCAACAGGGTAATGATCCCAAACATAAAGCGCGTCTCGTACGAGAATGGTTTCAACGAAAGAAAATCAATGTTATGGAGTGGCCAAGTGAAAGTCCAGACTTGAATCCTATTGAACATTTGTGGGAAGAACTGTAGCGAGCCTGTAGGAGCATAAAAGTGCAGAATCTAAATGAAAAATTTTCTCTTTTTGGCAAAAAAGTGGATGGGGATTCCACAAAGTACCATTTATGCTTTACTCTCTTCGATGAATCGCCGTTGCCAAGCCCTCATTGACTCAAAAGGTGGACCGACAAAATATTAATGCTATTATGGTAATTTATGATGGCTCTTGTTGATTTCATTTATTTTCATTGTTTTTATAAATAGTTTTTTAAATATGTGATAATTATGTCGTTCAGCTTACACCAAAATTCTTGAAAAATCTTATAAACAGCATGTGAGGATTTTTTAGGTGGTAAAAATTTAGAAGATTTTCTACATTTAGGGCAAATTTTAGCTTGATAGCTTAAATTGCAACAAAGTTTCGGTAAAAACAAAAGATATGCTAAAATTATGTTCGCTACTGTATGTAGCCAGATTGAATCTTCCTCTTAATTCAAGACTTCAATAAAAACAAAGGACGTTCAATTCAATCAGTTGGATACTTTCTTGGCTTACTGTAATTCAAACTTTTGCTTCAAACTTAAGAGACTGGACGTTGCAATATCTTTAAATGTTTATGTATACCTCCCAAAAGCGAAGATTTTCCTCGGCATGAATGCTACGAAGGAAAACTCGGAAATATTGGCGGCCAACCTAAATTTTTTATTCTTTTTAGTATTTAGCTTTCAGCTCGATTTTTTGGATCATTGGGAGAAAAAAGACATTTGACTACTCAATTGAAACCTGATGTCGATCTCTTATACCTCAAAAAAAACTTCCTCTTACATGATTTCCGAGGAGAGCCTCAAATGAAGTGGCCCATTTTTCCGCATAACTTCTCGGCAATAATTCCTGAAACTTTTTGTTTTACTTTAAAGATTGAAATGATGATTTTAACTTTCTAATTTTAGAACAAACTAAAACGAGATTCCCAAAAAACACCTCCAAATATTTGAGGTAACAGTCAGAGCGACGAAAACGAGGAAATTGATCGTTTTCGAGAAGACGACGAATCTGAAAAAGGGATATTGAAAGCCTTTAAACAACATTTTTTTAAAAATGGTGTGCAAATTTCATTTATTATAGATACTAGATGACCTCTTTACAAGCTGGAGCAAACTCATTCGGATCAGGATTGTCCGTTTCGGCGGTCGCTTTGATCTTCTGGAAAATGATGACTTATGAAGGATTTGAAATTAAATTTTCAAAGTATTGATGAATAAGATATTACACATAATTTAATTTCAAGGTGTCTTCTTGCTTTTTTTCAACATAATTCCTTACTTGCATCGATCCACTACTCAGATTGACGTACGGCGAATAGCAATCAACAATTTCTTTGGCGAAATTCTTAAACAAAATATGTTTTATTACTTTTCTTGATTTTTTTCTTACTTGTTTCTCATCATTTTGTCTCATTTTTTTCAATTTATCGACAGCCTCCAAAAAATTGAGATTCTCTTCGGCGAGAGCATCGAAAAGAAAACAACGGAAAAGTTGACGACCTGAAAAAACTTTTGAATTAGTTTACTTATGTTCTTTTGCAAGTCGAAATTATTTTCCATACCTTTATCATCATTGAGTAGATTAGTGAGTGTCCCCGATGCCCAGCTGGCCGCTCTTGGATATTCAATTCCATCAATTGACGGTAATACAGGAGCTTCACGAGTATGAACCGCTGATTGATCAAATACGGCCATTTTCTAAAAATGTATATATCCTAGAAAAATTAAGAAAACTCTCATTTTTACAGAATGTTGCCGTTTTTAATCAAAAATGATGTCTCGGAAATCAAATTTTTCCTCATGCTTTCACCTGTTTTTTATCCGTTTACCAAAATGTGATTTCACGCTTTCACGATTTCATTTTTTTCAAATTCACCTGCATTGAAAATTCCTTCGCTAAATCTACTAATATTTTGTAAAATTATAAGCTTAAATTTATTAGATTTTGAATCACGAAGATAATGACTTCAATTAGGGAAAAAGATGAAAAATGAAAAGAACCAACAAAAATGTATCAGTTTCATTTCTTTTTTGCAAAAATAAGTACATACCAAAAAGCTTACATGTGCGCTAGTTGGATGTGCCGGTTTATTGGGAGTTGTCGATGTTTTGTAATTTGATTGTTGAAGTGGTCGAAGTGATCGAGGATCTTGTGAAGCTGCGAGAAAATCGGGAATCGCCGGGAATGATTCCTGCATTTTTCGCATGATTTTTGGAAAATTAAGATTTTAGAAATATAGACCGAGAATGGGTTAGATATTTGATAAGATTCTGAATACTTTGTACTAAAAACGAGGGGATCGTCTCTTTTATACCCTAGACAAGTCCCCCCTTCTCCCCTTCAATCTTCAATACCCATTCAATTAATCTTTCCAAACCATTGAATTCTCCCCATTTTGATCTCAAATCGGATTATCCATTATTTGACAAACTTTTTGCGATTAGTAACTATCGGCTCATTTAAAAAGGACTAATTAAGGCTTAGGCGGATCCCAAGAAGATCCCAAAAGCAATTTGGACTACATTCAAAGATTTTCCTTTAGAGGTTTTTGATTTGATGAAGATCGAATAACCGAGTTTACCGGCTAAATCATCACAAAACTTTTAGTTAAAAAGGTTTACCACACCCTTAAAAATCGTCCCCGTTTCACAAGATGTGCTTTTTATATAAACCCCTTATCAAACGGTATTAACCCATTACTCCACACAATTTGTGAATTAGCATCCACAAAGTCTGTATTTCAGTCATTTTGCATTTATGCCTAACATCATACTTATTACAGTCTAGTCTATGGTTTCCCTCAAACCTTTTCAACGGGTTTTGTTGCTGTCTTTGGTGGAGGAGTTGGAAGATGAGGAGGAGTAACACTGAAAGAAAAACATAATTACATGCGTTAAATTGGGCTAAGTAAAAGGGAATTACGTCACTTTTCAACCATATGAGTCTACAAATGAATACGCTTTACATGTGTTATGCTAGGAAGAAATGCGGTATTAGATTGTTAATCAAACTTCTCAACCACATACTGTTAACTGATCATAAACATTCTAATCTAAGAGCCGATGGGATATTAGATGGGCATGGGCACCTAACTTTTCTATTTGTATATACAAGATATCATATCTTGAGAGTTTAAGATATTTAATTTTATTCAACACTGTCTGCTAAATTTTTGACAACATCAAAACTTGCCTCATTTCTAGCTAGTAGGATTAGATAAAGAATCTTTCAATAGATTTTTTGCTTTTATTATATATCGTGGTGTGAAGTTACATTAATAGCAAGCAATTGATAGCTTCTAATACTTCTAACACAGACTTCCCGGTACAAAATGATCAAAAATATCCCTTTCTGCAATGAAAATCCCATCAAAAGGGAAAAACTTAATCAAAAACTGAGACTTTGGTACAAAAATTTCTTTCCTATTCTTGCCTCTAAATAATTTCTCCTTTCTTTTCTTTTCTATTGATTCAATTTCTATTTCGTTTACCGCGTCTAATTGGGTTTTTGCGCGAGAAAATGAATACAAAATCTTGAGAGAAATTTAGACAAAAAATGCGGAAAGGAATCATTATTTCTATAGAAATTATGAAAAGTATTGGAAAGAAGAAAGGAATTCAACTGCAGATTGAAATTAGAGATTATTTTGTTTGATTGGATAGTTGAAGGGTAACTAGTGCTCATACGAACAGGGATTAAATCAAAGACAAAAATGAAGTCAGTCAAAATAAAGCACACCAGATTCACGGTAAAATCCAAAGTTGAAATAACGAATGTTAAAAATTTTAAGAATACAAGTTATCAAAAAACAATATTGTCTACCTGCTCGGTCCATATATGATAGATATTCGGCTAATCGTATAAGAGTATCTTTTAGGATACACTTGAATCGTTTACCCTGATCTGAAGGCAGAATTACCCCTATTTGTCAAGTTTTAAAAGCGAGTATTCGGAGAACAAAGAATTCAATTATAGATTAGATTGCAGATTATAAGTTATTTATATTTCATCAGATATAATTGTACCAAGACAGCTGTAAACTTGGTTGTAAAGATGAAAAATAAGGTAAATGCAAAGTTAGCATTCATTGTATGCTTCGGTTAATAGTAGTAATTAATACATTTTTCTCTGGCATACGGCGCAAAGGACCTGTTATTATGCTTAGAGATTATCGCGTAAGGCCATTTTGATCTTTAATAGAATAAAACAACACAAACTCAATTGAATCGATCTTGAGTCGATACAAAGCAAAGATGGTTGAAAGCCATGAAAGCTATGAAAGGGTTTCTCGAGGAGAAGACAAAAAACACAAGCAATTCCAATTATTTATTGAAAACCGAGGCAAGGAAAGAAGAAAATCAGGCCTTCTCTTTTTGCTTGAAATTATTTCATCGTGAGTACAAGAGATCTTTTTCTGAATAGAGACCGTCACCTAGGGAACCCATTTCCGAATAGGGAAAAGACAAAGAAATTCATCTAAAAGATCGTAAGGAAAAAATTGGATTTTCGCTCACAATCCCCCCCCCCTTGTGCATTTTTTTGGTGTGACGGAGATCTCATTGTCGGTCTTGCGGCTTTTGATTACAAAATATACGGTAGGTTGGGATTGAGAACCAAAACAGAACTTGACATATCGCTAAAAATATATAGCTGAAAAATGACAGGTGATTTTAATTTTTAAATGTCCTAGAGGGTATTGTCAGAGGGTATTTTTCTATCTATTGTTTATGAATAGTGCGTCAAGAAGAACAAATTTAACTATGAACATAAGTTTCTTGATTTAGTAACCCAGTTCCTTTTCTCATTGCAACATCCCAGAATCAAATTATTCACTCGATAAGTCAGCATTTATTTAATTGTTTGATTTGCTAATTGTGATTGTGAATCATTAGGTCTTTCACTATCAAACCCAAAATCAAAATCTATCAATTCTTCAATCCAAACAAATATTCCAACCTGATCACTGGCATTTTTCTTTCAGAGAATCGATCGATGAAAACTTTTCGGAAATCTCGTCTCAATTTGTGAATCTTCTGGGAAATTTTTCCTTTTATAAATCTTTTTTGTCACGAAATAGGCGGCGACTTTCGTGTATTCGAACAAAAAAAGATGAGAAAAAGTGAAAAGGTCTCAAACAAAAATAATTATCCTAATTTTCCCATAGAAACAAGATGTACCATGAAGGGAAATGATGGGAAATTGAGTGTTTCACAAAGGAGAGAAATTAAGTCGATTTTTGTGATAGGGTTTTTCAGAGAAAATCTCATCTGAATTGTTCCCTAATTACAAAATGAATCATGTGTAATGATTGGATTGAATATGCGAAAAGAAAAAATGAAGCAGAAAATAATAGAGTGAAAAAAGGTTCCTTGTCGATTTTCCTTGTAAAAGTGGCAGCAGGGCTGTTCCAAAAAGCTAGCCAAGCCAAAGCCAAATCGATTTGGGCCTGGCTTTGGTCTGGCCTTAAAAATCGGGTCTCGGAACAGCCCTGGGTGGAAGTAGATATCAAAGTGTTGGATATTTGGTTCTTTTCTCAACTAGGTAGGTAAACCTTTCTACAGGGTGACCAGTTTCCTTTTTTTCGTCCTTTCCTTTTTGTTATTTTTTTGACCAGCTATTTTTGAGCATTTATAACAAATTATCTATGGTCATGAAATTTTGAACATATACAGAAAAAAATGTGTATTTTCATTTTAAAAAGAAATTCATCGTTTTGGTCTACAAATAACAGAAATATGAGCCGAGAACGGACTATTAGGACGGATTATTTCTGGTCACCCTGTAAAATGTCAACTTTCGAAAACTAGCATAATCTTATCTCTAGTTTTCATTCAATCTACCCAAATGCCTGAATAAGCTATGAAGACTCCACTCAATTGCAGTTTCAAAAGGATTCTTTTCATGTATTCATAATTGAAATACCATGCTCACCGTAAACTGTCTGCTCTTTTCTGATTTGATTGTTGGTACGTTATTTCTTCCTTTTCTTCTTCTTCAACTACCGGTTCTTCCAAATCCTCCACAAAAGCTCCCTTTGATTTGTTATTGTTCTCCTGAAAGTATTTGTAACACGTCAGAGTCGGCGTTTAAATAAGGAATAGGTACGCAATTTAAGAAATAAATCTTATTGTTAGTAAATACCTACCTATTTAGATTTCTCAAAAATGTATACATATATATCATAATGAATTCAAAGCACAAAAGCATTTTCTAAAAATAGAACCAAAACTACCGTATTCGGTTGCTTTTGTAGATTAGGTAAGCGTTTAACTGAACGTGGATCGGTGAATGGCTCACTTATCAATTCATTCCATTATACCCACTTCTTGTTCTTGTAGTGTTGATGGTATTGATTGTGGTTCGTCGGATGGAGGAGTTGATGTCTTGATGAATGTACGCCACATCCACCTTGACGCACCACTTATTGATACCGATCGACGAGGCTAAAATTATTGAACGATCAATGAATATTTGATGTGAGATTGGATATGATAAATGAGCTAGATAACTGAATGGGTCGGTGAGCCATGCTTTTTGAAAATTTCTTTTTCTATTTTATCTATTTCCTGTAGAAATTTTTGTTCGAAAAACTGAAAACCCATTGGATAAATGAATGACCCACGAGGAAAAGCGGAAGAGATGGCATTGATGGAAAAATTTACGAGAATTGAACAAAATTATAGAGAATTCAACTCGAGGAAAGTCTCTCTTCCTTTTGTTTTAGAACAAAAAAAAATCAAAGGAAATTAAGTCGAAAGGGAAATTTTCCATCGAAAAAGCGATCCCATTACAAAATTCCCGCAAAAATTAAAGAAAATCACATTTTTGCGCCGTTCTTGTGTATGATTCCCGCAGAATTGGTTAATGTTTAGGGAAGTTTTAAAATTTTGAGAACAATTTTTTAATTGCTTAAAAATCTGGGTAAGTAAGTTAAGTCATTGGAAAACAAAACTATCGAATTATCGAAACTTACCCGTACCCGGTCTACCCCCATAGATCGCTACTTTTTTTAAACTTTTTATGGCCCCCATAAAAGTTTTATGACCTCCTATAACTTATTTAGGTACTTATGCATCTTTATCCACCACTTCCCGAAAGATATATGTAACTTTGCATCTACTGCATCTTTAACCCGCCAGTCCAAAATTTAAAAATATTCAATTAACACAAAGAAAAAAAGCAAAAAATCGACAGAAAGGTTTAAAGATTGGTGACTCCTTCTTGTGTACCTGGTGAAGATTTGCTCAAGAATAGCCACGAAAAGTTACTTTCCACGCAACGAATGGCGCCATACAAATTCGATGAGATAGGAGTCCAAGTGATCGTGGGAGTTTCCATGCTGTCGTTTGTTCCTCTCTTTGCTTGATCCCCAGAGTCGCTCGGTACGTTGTGTGTTGGCCTTATCGATGGATTCACAAAGTTGTGGAAAGGGTTGACTTGTTGGTGATAATCGGCGTCTTCCAAGGCTTTTGTGTTGTAACCGCGCCAACAATCCGTATAGATGATTGAGCCGACATCTTCAGTTGTTCTTCACAAAAAGCGAGAGAAGTGGTTTCTTTCGTCCAGAATAAATGTGTCGAAGCGCCTTAAGAGTAGAGAGATGAGATCCCCAGAACCAAGTGCCTTTTCAAATGCCAAACTCTTTGCGACACGATCGGTGATTGCATCTCCAGGTGAGTCGGTTTCTCGAAAGGGTCATCGCGTGCCCCCCTTTGCACAGCCACATCGTTGGGAGAACACCTTTTGATTGAAAAAAAAGCCACGGCTCCGTCCTCGGTTGTTGGCAGGAGAAATATTGTAAACATTCGGGTGACTACCCACGGAGAAAGAACGTAGAAAAAGGAGTAATTTCTTGGAAGTAAAATTCCTGTATTTTAATTGCGAGCTAAATATGCGAAGTGCAGTTAATGCAAGTTCGAATGTCCTGCGGAAAGTGGCGGGGTAAAGCTGCAAATGATGCAAATTTACTAGGTTGGTGCAAATGAAATTTCGTTTTTTTACAAACATTAAAGTCATCCAAAATTTTTTTTGATAACAATTTATTTAAAACAATAAGCACCATTATTATCTATGACATCCCTCCAACGTTGCTACAGATTGCGGATCCCCTTCTCAAAGAACGCTTGATTCTGTGATGCAAAGTAGTTGGTCACCCAATTTTCGATTTCTTTGCATTCTTAAACTGGCAATTCTCAAGGGAATGTTGCATCGATCTGAAAAGGTGAAAATCGGAGGGTGCTAAGTCTGGACTATACGGCGCATGTGGTAAGACCTTCCATCCTAGCTTCTCTAGTTCCTTACAAGAGGTTTTTGCCGTGTGAGCTGGAGCATTATCACAGAGAAAGTTGATAGTTGAGGGATTTAGGCCTTTTTCACGCAAAATTTCGTCAACCTTCTTGAGTTGTTGAATAAAATAAGATGAATCGACTGTTTTTCCGGGCTCTAATAATTCAAAATGAACAAGTCCATTGATATTCCACCAGCAAGACAACATCACTTTGCGCCCATGATAATCCGGCTTTGGAGTTGGAATTGGCGCTTGACCTTTGCTCAGCCATTGCCTTTTTCGAGAAGTATTATCAAAGTGAATCCACTTCTCATCCATCGTCAAGATATTCTCAAAAAAATGGCTTCTTTTCGACTTATGGAGCAAGATATGGCTGATCGAAACGCGTGCTCCCAGATTCTCAACACTCAATTGATGTGGAACCCATTGTCCATTACGATTTGTCTTTCCAATTATTTCCAAATGGCGTACAATTGTTGAATTGGAGATGTTTGGCAAGTCCTCGTGTTGTTTGCATTGGATCAGCTTCAATTCATTGTTGTCGATGGCTGTGGCACGATGTCCATGCGATTCGTCTTCAAGGGATTCATTACCATCTCGGAATTGGGCAAACCAGAGCTGGCATGATCTTTCGGTGATAACCTGTTCTCCAAAGGCGGAACAGAGATCACGATGTGAATCAGCAGCGTTTTTGCCCATTTTGAAGTCATAGAGAAGACACGTGCGCAGAACATACTTTTGATCCACCATGATCTAAAGCAAAAATCAATTAAAAAGTGAAAGCTCTGACTTTGAAAAAATGCGAAAATAAAGTAAATATCCAAGAGTACAAATGCACAAAAGAACATCAAATAAGCTCTTCAGATTAAAAATAAGAACATTTTATATCGACCGAAATTTCTTTTGCACCAACCTAATACATATGTTTTTGATGGCAGGGTAAAGATGGATAAGTACCCTTTTTATCACCCCCATACTTTTTATGACCTCTTTTCCAGACTAGATTTCCCCATTTCATGCCCCCTAGAAAAATCTTATACCCCATAAAAAAGCTTTCACTCCAGCCCTAATTCGGAGAAAAAACAGCAATTTTCGGATAAAAATTTCTGAGTTGCAGTCTTAGAATTCTTTTGCATTATTCACTTGAAAAGTAAATGTACACTTTAGAGAAAAATCTAGTTAACTATTTGGTCAAGTTAGAAACTGAGAATTAAAGACCGAGTTGAGCCTCAAAAAAGAAGAAAGATTCAGAAACCAACATTTTATCTCGGAATTCTGAATTCTAAATCTATACAGCATTTTCCTTTTCAAAAATGTACAGCCTAAAACACAAATTATTATTCTGAGAAATTTAACGATTGTCAAGTTAGGTAAACTTCTTTGGAAATCAGAAAAAGAGGTCGATCAAGATAGGCTAGATAGGCTGATTGTGAGACAATGAAAAACAAACTAATGCTAACTAGTAAGCCACTATTTTGGAGAAAATGTGATAGCTCGAAATTTTATATCCGTTGTTTTTTGATTTAGCAATAGGCACAACAAAACCCGAGCGTACTGGCGAAACCCGAAACGCTATCTTCAGCACACTGGTCTCCCTGTTTTGATCAACAGTGAAACAGTCAGAAAATAGTTTGGGTGCCAAAGAGGGAAACCTTGAGAAAGGACTTTGTTTGACCAAAACTACTCTTATATCAGATTGGGCCAGAGAGTATAAGTTCAGGTTATACTTTTAAGAGGCTTTTGAAAAGTACCCCAACCTGCTTGGCCTCATTGGCAGTTTCAATTCGTTAGAACTGATGGGAAATGGAAAGAAATTTATCTAGAGAAAGAGAAAAAGATACAAAATTTGAGAGCAAAAGCATATAACATCAAAACAGCTGACAAGCAAGACAAACAGGTCGATTCTCTTCGGTAAATATTTCTTACAAAAGAGCTCCCATTCTCTTTCTCAAGTTTTTTTCTTTGTTTAGTTCTTTTGTTTTTTTCTCTTTTTTCGCATTCCCTGTATATCCAATCAGATTGGGGAGTTTCCATGGTGAACTATTTCTTTAGTCCTTCCATTTCATACAAACTTCTCCTCATTATTAGCCTCCACTGAATTTCATTCAAGATACCTTTTAGTAGAAGAAACATGCTAACATCGCCAACATTAAATCGACTTAACATTTAACATCGACATTTACATAAATTTCGCAAGTAATGAGGGTAACTTTGGAGAAACGGAGCAGGCACAAAAACTAGAAAACTCGAGTAGCTGGAATACTGGATTGCATTGGAGAATCAAGTTTTCGGGGAAAACAAATCACAATTTCTATTTTCAACAAGTTTTCCATCAATTTTAAACAGCAATATTTTTAGATTTTGTTCTAATATCAAGCAAAACTAAAAAGCGGTTTATGGGAATTTGCTGCCATTTTAGAATCTATGTGAAAATTAATTATGTTTTGGGAAAAATTTTAGCATTTCTTAATATCATACAAAAAAGGTTGAAAACTTTATAAACAAACCCCTGACTCGTGAAAGCAAAGAATTTTCATTACGGAGATTAGAAACTTGAGATTTTTGACTTATATTTCTTCACAGCCACGTTTTTCAAAATCAACACCTATTCATATTGGAAAACTCGCTCTCCCAAACCAGTCTGAAGTGTTCTAAATTGTTTTCAATGTTATAGCTTTCTTCAATGTTATTTATTAAAACGAGATCAAAAAATGAGCGGATTGGGTATAAAATAACTATATGAAATAGCAAATATGAAATAATAACTATCTACACAAAATTTAACGAGGTTTTTTCGGTTTTGATCCGAGATTTGTTGCTGGAGCTCCTCGTTTGCGGGCTAAAGTAAATGCCTTTTTTAAAATTCCCAATATAAAAGCTCCTACACTCTTGATCATCGGATGGATTAGTCATTTGACTGGACGGTCGATGTAGTAAATCTAAGCCGGAAATAAAATGGAAACAATCACAAAGAACCACCACCAGGATGCGCCAATCCACACTCGGGATTCTCAATCTCTGGTACCGTTGGTACATACCATAAAGGTCCTGTAGCACCACTAAAGACAAAAAATAATGAAGCATGATTTCTAGAGAAGTAAGTGTCAAAATCAATGTAAGAGTCAAAGTCATGAAAATCACCTTAACTTTAAAATTTTTCTTAAACCAAATGAAAGCTTACACCAAATGAAAGCTTACGATTAAACCACCTAGTAAAACTCATAGAAGCTTATTTATTTATTCAGATTCAACTGAATTCATTATTTCAAATATTGCTGCTCTTTTAAAATGCTTACGTCGGGTCGGGAATCAACTTTCCAGGGTCATCTTCTTCGTCAGAAGAACATACAATGTCATTAGATCGTAGCCCACAGATGTCAATCGCCTCTTCACGTTTGTCCTGAATCACGAACATGACCATTCAACCAGATGTTATTGTCACAGAATACAACCATTTTGGTAGCAAATAAACACCTGTCCATCATCATTATTTTCTTCATCTGCATCTTCATCTTCCAGATCGAATTCGCCTTCTTTTTCAATGTACCTATCAAAAATATAATAAAGCGAAACATTTGAAAGCTGACTTTGCGTTTTCTTCCAATTCAGTGAACTCTGGTGCAAACGCAGACCAATTTTCGACATGTACCTAAACTAATATAGCTGAGAATAAAGAAATACTTAAGACGACTTGCCTGTGTCCAAACGCTGACGATCCCATTAGCAACAGATAAAATAATAGGTCGAGTTGGATGCCATTGAACATCATGAAGAGATTCACCCTAAAATCGATACCCTCTTCATATCACAATAGACGCTAGTAACTAACCCAACACCAAATCAAGAAAAACATTAATTATCTATACACGCTCGTAGCTTTTGTTATAATTCAAAAGGATGAACGATTCTATCCAGTTATTCCAATGTCTTCATCGTTTAAGCTACGAGAGCTTGATGTATGTGGGCAAAAATGATAAACAAAGGGGTAAAAAGCATAAACAAAGCCACGCACACTCGCCTTCGTTCCGTGCACAATTTTTACCAACGATCCAGAATTTCGTTCCCAAATATGCAGAGAATGTGCCTAAAAACTTTACAAGAAAATGGAGATAAATCTGACTTTAGTCGATCCACCACAAATATATTCGCCTTCCGGTGAGACGCAAACGGCTTTCCAAGCTGCCTAAGGTAAGCAGTTTTCGGCTAGGCAGCAATTTTTGTGGACCAACCTTGTTGACAATGTCAAGTAGTTTTTGATTTTGATCAACAACAGCCCCTTTTGGTTTAACAAGAAGATCCTCGAAATCAAAACATCTTCAATCATCAGCTATCTACAACTAACTAGCAAGCTCAAATATACCTGATTATTCGATCAGATGTGTTTGTGATGAGTTGATTATATCGACGGGGAATCACAATGTTTCTAATCTGAAAGAACAATGGAACGAACAACGTTAAACAAAAACTTACTTGTTGCTGACTGTTCTGTTTAACATATGTCACAATTCTTAACGTTTGAGCATCAAATATACAGAGGCGACCCTAAAAATGAAGCCAAGATGAATAAATTTTTAAAACTCACTTTGCTTGTACCCGTAATCAAGTATTTTCCTCGTCGATCAAAAGCAATTGCGGTAACCTTAAATACGAAAAAATTGAACCCCAAATTTGAATAAAAATAATCTTTAAAACTAACTCCATCATCAGCAGCTCCGGGAATATCATATGAAACGACAGCATGTTCTGGTTGGCCTGTTGGGGAAATCGATTCAGAGACAGGCCACATCCCAAGCGGAAGCACAACGATTTGAAGGTCATTTCTAAAAGTAACTAGTTTTTAAACTTATATTTGTTTACCACTAACCTGGGATTAAATAAAGCTGAGACGACAATAGCCGAATATTTGTATTTTTGAAGAGCGGTTGTTGTCAAAACATCCCAAACAACTACCGTTGAATCGGCTGAGCCTAAAAATAGTGAAAAAAATGTTTAGTTAGATTGAAAACCAACCAGTCAGCAATTTTCGGCCATCTCTTGACCACGATAAAGCCATTATCGGTTGAACATGCGCCGTCCACGTCTAATACTTTAAATAAAAAATAGAACTTTCAAAAACTTGCCTTTGCTATACCTTTTGTGACAAAATCAACGATGTACATTCGCCCATCGGTCGTCCCAACAGCTACTAGAGAACCCCATCTGTTGAATTTGCAGCAATTAGCGTTACCTAAAAGAGCATTGCTGTTAAAAACAGTATATAGCCAAACAAACCTCCTTGCAGGTCGATTGTACAATCATGTTCCTCTGGATATTGTGCACCAAAGTTACGCTCCACAAAATCGATGTTCATCTTATCTGTAATGATATCATTTTCATCACGAGAAACGCATAAAAATCAAAAAACACAAAAAAGCAAAAGAGCTATAAAATTCTGCCAATAAACTAGCGAAAAACCCGAAATAAGTAGACAAATTAAATGCTATTTTCGAGTTCGCATATTCAATTGTTTTTCGTATTCAAGACGCATCGCTTCCGCTTTCACATCAACATATGCCAACTCAGCCTAAAAAGACACATTCATGTAATGCTCAACAAAATCTAGGTTTGAATAATGAGTAAGTGGCATATCACTCTTATGATATACCCAATTTAGAATATACTCACGTTTTAAATTTATAGACTAACGTGCAGTGTGCGTGGATAAGATCACATGAACTCGGTTCTTGTGAATCTTATCTATAATCTAAATTTAACGTGTCAATAAGCAATGCGTAGTAGATTCGCGTGGATAAGAGCACAAAGTACTCAATAATTACTTGATCCGTCGATTACTGCTTTTATGCACTTTCAAGTTTCCCAAGTTATCGCTGGGCTGTCCAAAAGTACCTCCAAAAAGTCGGTGGCTTTTCCTTCCCGTTTTGTTTTATCGATTTTCTCTTGTATCATTTTCCTTTCTAGGTTCGCCGTTAAAACATGTGGCGGAGAATTCCAAACCTAAAATTTTAAACTTAAAAGCACAAGCACTTAAACCAAACGTCGTCAATGTCTGAAGCTTCGCGTAACCAACCAAAATATATGACAAATGCAGCCAGAGAAATGAAAAAGGAGAAAAATTGCCTAAATTAATAGATCACTTTAAATCGTGTCGTTAACATTTCTAATGCATATAACAATATTATTTACTTTTAAGTAAAACCAACTTTCTTTTAAATGCGTCTGTTTTGTAGTAGTCGACTATAAATGGTCGGAGTTCAAATTGTTTTCCATCAGGACGTTTTCCCTAAAATTAATTTTTGCTTATGGTTCCAAGGATGTAATTTAAAAGGTTTAGAGTAAAATAACATTAAGGTATAATGTTGAATATGAATAACTGTGTCAATAAAGTCAGGGTCAAAACTAAATGTTTGCTGGGAGCGCGTTTAGGGGTGTTATCTTCAAAAAGTATATCTTGATTAACTCTGCCTTTTACAGCTTCTACAAAATCCAACTCACTTGAAATGCCGCACTTTCACTAAACTTTGGTTCACGACTCGACGTTGAAGCAAAACGTCGAAGAAATACTCGCCTCAGTGACGAACGCAACAACATAAACATCTGAAATACTAAAGCCTATTCTTTTGAATAGGAAATATTTTTAAAATACGTAGGTATTATACAAAAAGGCTTATATAGAGTTAAAAAACTTTCTGTCAACAATCAGCTCTCAATCTCAAGCTTTCTTTTTCCCATTCTATATGTCTGCCACATTTCCTTTGTTTTCTCTCCTCCCTCTCTTTTCCACTTTTTAGCCGTTTTGAAACTATTCGAAGGAAATAATTACCTTTAAAATTTCATAAAGGAATAAAACATTAACATTTATGAAATCAACCGCAACTATTAACACTTCCATAAAAAGAACATGTGTAAGTATCAAAAAATGGTGAATTCAAAACTAAAAGCCCGTAATTCCAAAAAAGATTTGATAACCAAGTGTAAATCGAAGTAAAAGATTACATTGAAATAGACTAGAAATTTAAAAATATGACGCAATAATGACGGCCGCCCTTTCATAAGCCGGATCGTAGCGGAGGCCTGGACTCGCGTAATGCATCTTCATCAACTAGAACCTTGATATAGATTGTAAATTTTGATTAACAAACTTCACATAAGTATGTCCGGACCAAACAGTTGTCTCGACAAACTGCTGCACCACAGCAACGTTGCTAAAGTCAAAACCATGAGCTAGAGCTTGAAACGATAACACTCACATTTTCGATAATGTCGGCCGCTCTTCCCAGCAGTTGTGCAATTGTATCCGTCTCACTTGGAAGCAGTCCATAGTTCCTCAAGGCCTCTCGATTTTGGACAATAAACTTCGAGTACAACGAGGGCGTTGAAGTAGTTGTACGCTAAACCTTCAGATTACAACTTGTAATAATTTATTACATTTGAGGTTGTGGATGGAGCAGATTGTCGTTTCTCGCTTTCAGCCTTCTTTTCAGGTTTGTCATTTTTCTAAAGCAGGTTTTTTAAACAATAAAATCGAAAGATTTACTTTGCTGTTAGCATTAGAATCAATTTTCTTTTGTGGCGGTTCATGCTTTGCAGTCTTTGAAATAACTGATGCTGCCTCATGCACCTTAAATTTCTTTGTTCTGCGTATTTGGATATCAGACAAAGCAAAGACCTGTTCTGATGGAGCCGAAAATCGCGAACTAGTTGGCGGTTTTTCTTTTGCAAGCGAGCTATCTGTGATGATTGCTGGAGTAGGTTCAGATAATGGTGCACTGAAGCGAGGTTGACTTCGGTTGATAGGATTGTTTAGTTTAGTCCCATCATTGGCAGGCACAACGGGCTTTTCGATAGACTAAAGAAAATAAGAGTTGCTCAACATGACAAGATAAAGATAGACCAATATAAAAATACCTCAGATTCATTTGGTAAAGTTGCGCCCGTCCAAACAACATTATAAACCGTTCGAGAAATGGGAAATGGAGTCGTGACAGCCATACTTCGTGTAACCCAAATACCGTATTCTCTAAGATTTTAAAATTTTAGTAGAGACGCAAAACTATACCGATTTGGACGAAACTTTTCCCGGAACTGTTCGTTGGCATCATCAATTGGACCGAAATCTTGTGAGATGAGAATATTTTGAAAAGAATTACGATCCCAGATGCATTTTGTATTGAACCATAACTAGAAACACAAAATTGATAGGGATACTTTTCAATAAACAAACCGAGTTTCCCCGTTCTACAACATTGACCGGTACCAGCGAAGAATGGGTTGCAAAGCTCACGATGTCCATCACCTAAAGTGTTTTGCCTTGCTACTGAAAATTTTCATTAATACGCCATATTTTCCATTGTAGTTAGCCGTGAATTTGATTTTCGTTCCAGGTGATAAGTATCGCCAGTCTTCACAAGTTTCTTGATCAAAACTGATCAAAACATTGGTTAAACTAAAGCAAAAAAACTACCGAAAAGTTATTGATGCATGCTTTGCCGAGAAAACGTTTTTTCCGTCTGTCGAAACGATCACTCCAATCTCATTGTTCACTTCAATCTGAAAAGCACATCACTGCCTATATCACCCAAAATATCACTTTATTCATGTCCAAAAACTTCTTTATTTTATCGAACTTGTCCGTTTCAACGTCTACAATGCGGAAACGTCCCAATCTAAAGCTAGACTGAGATTTCTGATAGGAATTTTGTTCACTTAGTTGGCGCATCATCTTTGACATAAACTCGACAGACTGAATTGTTGTAACGTGTCAGGTGATGCATTGAAAGCCTAAACCTCTCGTTTTCCATCAAAAAGTTGATAAACTTTTTCTCCGGATCGTCCATGAAGCCAAATTTTTCGCTTTTGAAAATTCCTGGGTGTTCGTTCATTTCCTTAACGCCAACTTCAATCTTTAAAAAATCGTTGTTTTTTTTTACAAAATAAATACACTCACTGCATCAAATAGCCCAATCTTCTTTGTAGGAATTGGCCTTTCACTTGTTGCACGGCGCTAAATTAGATTCTTGCTATCACTGGATAAATAAAAATACCCATTCGTAAACCACGAAACACGTTTCATATTGATGCCATACAATGTTACAGAGCAAAGTTTCTCCTGAAAGAAAATTTCATGGGATAAATCTCTTTACAAACAAAGTCAAGTACAACTAAAAAAATACCAATAGCTGGAATTTCTAGTGGATCTTTTTTGAGAAACGGAAACACGATTCGATCAGTCTTGAAGCACTCCGAGTATAAATTGAGATGTGACGTATAAATGCAGTGAACATCCAAGCGTTTCTAGGATTGGGTACAACTTTTATCCAATAAGAATAAACAACCATATAAGGAAATCTCTTATTATCGTCTTCTTTCGCTGTCCGTAAAACCGTTGGGCCTTCATCGTCACTATCCGAATAGACATGCAAAGCATATTTGTCTTTTCCGCTATTCCAAGGCTAAATTAAGGAGTTATCTATTACTAGAAAAAAATACCAACCGCACTTGCTACCATGTACTGATCTTCCTCATCAACGCCTTCAAACTCCGCAAAACTTGCCTAAGTTTACCTTTACATTTATTTTACATTAGTCTTTCATTATTACCGTTAAGCACATATTCTTAAAGTCCTCGTGTAGTTTAACCCAAACTTTTATTTCGATATTTGGAAGAGCTCGCTTCACGTCTGCCATAGCTAAAACATAGCTATGTTCAATAAAAGTTTAATATAAGAAAACTAACACAAAGGCAGAATTCCATAATCTCCAACATAAATTTGCGCATTTTCTGGTTCATCCATGACACCTTTTACGAGAAACTAAAAGTCATATACCTGTTTTTGCTTTAGAAAGCTACCCTGACCTGGCCACCTGTGCTAATCTTGAACGCTTTCATTTTTGCTGAAGAGTGTCGTTGGAATTGCATGACATAAAAGCAACCATCGATTTCTTGAACATCTTCCATCAAGAATGAGATCTAAGAAAATTTTATAACAGAAACCCAGTTCAAATTGCCTCATCCCCGAAACTCAAGCTTTCTTCAGCCTTTCTTCGCAGTCGTTTCAATTCCTAAAATCACTTGTAAAAGATTATATGATAAACCCAAAACTTACGGCAGGATCCAATTCACCAGCGGATCGTAGCTTGAATGTAAATCCCTCATGATGTAGAAAAATCATAGGTAGTTTCACTCCAGGTCGCGGTGGGAATGAGGAAGGCACATATGCCATGCAGCGTCCGTGTTGCTAAAGTAAACACTCAAATCTTTAAAGAATATAGAAATAAGTTCCATTTCCGATAATCCAGCGGCAGGCTTATAAGCTGATTTTCATCAAGAAACACGCAGACATTTACTACAATTTTCTGTGAACCTACCCGCCACGGTCCATCGTCAATTTCCCGTACCACTATCGCATGGATAGGCATTTCACGTTGGGTGTTGGGCCCTCCGAAACCGGCAAAGCCAAATGCCGACATCATGAAACAGGTTCTGTGTCTCCTATGACCGAACAAAGGTTGTTCCATAAGGTAGACATGTAAATTTTAAAAAATGTGTAACATGCAAAAACTGCTAAAAAAACTGATTGTACGAAAACGCATCTGACCTAACAAAACAACACTTGAACAAAATTTATTTTATAATTGGATACAAACGTGTCAAAATAAGACAATAATCATATCATTTTAACGTTACTGAGACGATTCGGACTTCTTCTCTAGGACGACCACTTTTCTCGTAGACCGGTAAATTATTGATTTTCTGCACAACGTTGAAACCCTCCGTAACCTAAAGAGCTTTGTGCGATTAAAGTATGGAAGTAAAACCTCTCCAAACAATGTATTTTTGCCATCAAGCCATTCTGCTGGAACCACGGTAATGAAAAATTGTGAGCCATTTGAGTTAGGACCAGCATTTGCCATCGCAACCTAAATACTAAATGAAAAGTGTATTTAAATTGACAAATACTTTATAAGGTTTATCAAATCGGAGTCTGGGATGGAACTCATCTTCAAAATCTTCGCCCCAAATCGAGTTTCCGCCAGTACCTTTCCCAGTAGGATCGCCCGTCTAAATTTGATAAGTCAAATTAGACATATTAGTAGTAAGTTATTAGTTAGCTTTGAAAACAAAGTCTTTAGTATTTTTGTCGCTAAACACAAGGAGCACACCTGAATCATAAAAGCTTTGATGACACGATGAAACAGCAGCCCATTGTAATAGCCTCGACGCACATGTGTGCAAAAGTTTTCGACTGCCTAAATACTCGAATTATTTATACTAAATGATTAAAAATACCTTTGGACATTCTTCTGGATACAGTTTCATGTGAATATCACCGTACGAAGTGTGCATAATAATTTTTTCAGACCATTTACTCGATGGCCCCTCGCCCTGAAAATTAACAAAGTAAATCGCTTAGGTAAATACTTTCTTACTTCAATTGCAGTGATAATTTCTTCTTTCTTGGGCTTTTCGTTGAAAATATCACTAAAGAAAATTTGCAAAGTTTGCAACAAATAAAAAAGGACATACCGGCCAGTTCCTCCTTCCTCATCATCTTCTGTTGAGTAAGGTTCCTGGTTTGTAAATAAATAAAAGCGCGACTTCTTGTTTGCTATTGCCACCTAAACAAATAATTACTTAAATCTACGTTTATGCATGTCTAACCAAAACTGGATCTGGATCAGTTCGTTTGTTCAAGGTTGGATTATCCGCTGCTTCCTGAAATTTACGTTTATTTTTTAACCTTGTCATCACATAAAAACGATTCTATACACAGCAATTAACATGGATTAATAAAAATAAAAACCAAAACCTACCGTCTCAATCGTAGCCGCTGCTCCTTGTAATCTAGATAAAGAACATCACTCAATTTTTGCAATTCTTCAAACCTTGATCGAATATCGGGAACAGCACGACAAATAGTCACGGCAATAAAGCGCATCGTTTCCTCCCGTCCGATTATTCGAACAACTTCGTGTGTCACAGTATTATACACCTAAAAATTTTATTTGAACTGCAATTCAATGATACTTTGATTCCAATTGGCGATGGATAGATCAAAAAGTTGCTTGAATGGTCCCAAACCAAATTTGTAAAGCGAAAACTGGTCGAACGTTCCCTTAATCAAAATAAAATTGGTTCCAAAATTTAAGCCTACTTGTCCAAGTCTTTTTCCAAAGCAAGCCGCCGATTCCATTCCATGCTTTGCAGTCCAAAGTTTCTATAAGCTGATAGTGAGTAAATAGTGTGGCAAAGGGTCTCGAACCTGTTCTGCTTGGCTTGTTCAATATACTTTGGCATGGTTTCGTCAATCAAATACTCGATTTTACCCGTCAACACATCAAATACTCGAATTCTCCTAAAGTACTTCACATATAAACATTTAAATTGATGCACATACCTATCTTCAGCAAGGGTAGCAAACTTCTTCCCGTCTGGGCTCATACACATTGCAACCGGAAGTGTTTTGATCTACAATATATAGTTTCTACGTCTTCCGTGTGAATATCCCTAAGAATGTTCTGATGTCAAGATACCTTTAAGAACTCGTACAAATCTGTGTCCATCTTACTCTCAAATTTGACAAAGCTTGGGAATTGGAATTCATTCTAAAGTTGATTTACTGAGTAAATTTTTTAAATTTTACCTTCTTTCCACACCAATACTCAATCATTCCACTATCATCTGCTGAAATTGCTAGATCAAGCTGGTGATTGTATTCAATTAACCGGACACTTTTTCGGTGCAAATTGTCAAAAATGTGCAAAGGTTCCTATAAGAAGTCTTTAGTTCATAATAGACTAAATGTTTAACCTTTGCACCCTTTCCATCAAATACATAAATCTTTCCACTATCGGAATCACTGACAGCGAGTAGATGCAAGAGTTGCGAACCTTAAGAACAAATATTACTCAATAACAATTGTCTAAACTATACCTTGGTGTATCCAGGCGGCTGTACGAGGCGAAAAATCAAGCTTGAACATATTGATCATATCGAAATTCTCAACGTCAAAAATTTTGACTGATTTGTCTTGTGAGCATACTGTACATAATAATGTTCCATTGAAATTTACTGCTAGCGTGGTAAAAGCAACTAAATTAGGAAATTTAAGAACATAAAAAGCGTCATACATAAATGGCATCGGAAATGTTTCACAAACTCCACCCCCTCTGCGTATTTTTTCTTCCAAAACTTCAAATGACCGTCAATGCTTGCAGTAATTATGAAATCAGTTCTAAATTTATTTAATTTATCAAAAAAGTATCTAGTTAAGACAAACTGTGTTGCGATTGCGTGAGTGATCACATCTCGGTGCATAAACGACTTCTCGTATTGGGATGCTGATGAGATTGAACGAAGATAAGTAGCTTCGAACTTCAAGACTAAAGAAGACTAAAATCATAAACAACCAAGATTACCTTTCGGCTTTTTATTTTCTTCCGTCATTTCCTGTTTATCGGTGTCCACTCCTTTTCCTTCTACATTGCTGGAAGAGACAGCAGCATCTTCAGCCGGTCTTTTCATATCTGTAAAAATAAGATTTATCAACAAGGTCAACAATAAACAAACAACGAAATTGAAAGAGGATAAAAACATTAAAGAATCACATTTCAAATCAATAATTTTTTTATTCTTCAATTTCCAGAATTTTCCCAGTCGAGCGCTGCCATCTTTTGTGAAGAACAAAGCGGAACTCGCTCATTTTGATCCCAAGAATTTTGAGTATTTTAGCTTGTTCGGCATTGAGGGTTTCGTTTTCCGAGCACACGTGGAAATCCTTATACAGTTCAATCTAAGCAAAAATCAGTTCCATTTAAAACATTATCAGTTTTACCTGTCCCTTTTCAAGTTTTGTTGGCAATCCAAGCTTCCGCAGTTGTGGTTCCATTGAAAATGAAAATTGTGGTAAAGGACCCTCGCTCAACTCTATGGTTTCCGTTGCCACTTGTCCTAAAATACTTTAAATCGAGTTTACAAAAAGAAATACCTCCTCGCGCAAAATCCTTGTGTCGAAATTCTTCAAAGTACTTGATTACCTTCTCATCCGGCACATTAGTAAACATCAATCCACGCTGTCCTTTTAACGAGTTAGCCATTTTGTGCAAGTTCTTTTGACATTCCGCTTCTTTTGTTCGTCCCAACGCGACCGCCATCACATTGTTCTTGCCAAAGAAGAAACGCGAATTTGCTTTGAAGTGTTGCCGTACTTCCAAAAACAAATCGGATCTCATATTGTCCACAGAAAACACGTAGAGATTCTCGTAACTTTCAGCACAATGCTTGACCTAAAAATTTATGAAATCAATTTTTTAAACGTTTCGGATTTTTGATTAAATTAATCGATTAACTTTTCATTGCTTTCAATGGCGGCCATTTTTAAAATTTTCGGCTTGAGCTGAGTCAAGAGTCAAAATTTTTTCGTGTCGAGCCTGACTCGTTTTAAATCTTCACTCGAGTCAATGAAAATTTTTCTTAAATTCTCATAAACTCGAAAAAATTTCCAAAATAACTAGACATGAAGAAAAAAGCGCGTACTTTAGAGTCTAGGATTCAAAATTTTTAAAAATTTTGAATCCTAGACTCTCAAGTTCTTAAAAATACTAAGCTATAACCCATTTTTCGAGTCGAGTCAAACCGAATCAGCGGTTCAGGGTCCAAAAAGTTGAGTCACGAGTCAGAATCTTTTGACTCGACTCGTTGCCCATGCGCTTATATAATAATAAATCTTTGCGTTATAATAGCATAACTATTTCATTATTGTTTTAGAGTACATTATATAAAATAAGTGAGTAGGCGAGAATGAAAAATCCTGGAATTATAAAACAAACAACTAAAAGTTAGCTACCTCATTGATCATCCCCGATTTAGCTTCCTTAGTCTTCTTTTTTACTTTCGTCAACGATACTTCTTTCTCTCGCTTGGTTCGAGGCATTCTAAACTGTAAAAAGTTGTAATATCTAGAAAAAACACAAAAGTAGGTAGGAAAACAAATAAGTATTCGAATTCAAAAAAATAAGATAGCCTAATCGATCTTGTGGTCTCAAAGCGGACTCCTTGTCACATCAAGAATTCATTTGGTGAACCAGAATTTTTGAAAACATTGTAATGTTCGAGAAACTTGACAGAAACTCTACAATTCCGCGTTTGAAAGAAAAAATCATTTCAAACGGGGGTGGGGACAAATGCTACCTTTTTTTGCTGGAAAAGGCCTTAGGAAAGGCCGTAGAGCTTCAAATATGTTGTCATATAAGGGAATCGTATGCGTCGATTCCGACTTTCGACAAATCACACCTTGCTGACACGTCAAATTTGGGCTAAAAGGCAAAAACTACGCAAATTAACACTTTTCCGCAGTTTTTGCCTTTTAGCCCAAATTTGACGTGTCAGCGAGGCGTGATTTGTCGAAATTCGGAATCTACGCATACGATTCCCTTATGCGACAACATTTTTGAAGCTATACGGCCGTTTCCAGCGAAAAAAAGGTCGCTTTTGTCCCACCCCCATTTCAAACGCCTCAAAATCGTTTTACACTTAAACATTTGCCAAATGAAACTTAGTTTTTCAGCTAAATATCGTCTGCTTATTTGCTGCTATATAAATTGAGTGAAATGTAGTTTTTTTCATTTTTGTTTGCTCTTGCCCTTTGCTATTTCCCCCTTATACATACCGTAAATACTGTAATAGTACCCCACCCCCATAATGACGGTGCGGAGTGTTGCGTAGTCTGGCAGCTTTGAACGAGTTTTCTCGACACTGGTTTATGCTACAGTGCGCGCTTGCAAAAAATAGCCTTGAATTTCAGTTATTTTTTGATACCAAAGACGCATTTTTTGAAAGTACCGGCGCTTTGAAAAAAAATGAAATACTAAAAAACTTTTGCGACTACGCGACTGTACGAGGGGGACTGGGGTACTATTACATTATTTACGGTACCTACTTTGTTTTGGATCTCTACAGAGACTTTTAATTCCAATCAAGTGTTTCTTCACCCGCAGCTGTCGCTTTTTCTTTCCCACTAAAAGTCTAAAGATGGTAGTACTTGTCCTATATCCAATTATCAAAAATCCTCGCTACTTTTTTACGCTTCACTCTTTGTGTATCTATACATTTATCCTTCCTCACAGGTTTCTTTGAGAAAAAAAGTGTTGGTTTCAGAATGGTGGCAACTCAAGGGATCGGCCTGAGAACTTCTGCATCGGGAGCAGAGAAAAGCTTTCAGGTTGGTTTTATTTCATTTTTTTTACCCTTTATAATATCTTCTTTTAGGATAGAGACAAGCCGACCGGTGTGAGAAACAGCAACATTATTGCTGCAAAAGTAAGTTTGTCAATTTGTGAAGTTTTCTATTAATTTTGTATTTCAGGCCGTGGCGGATGCTGTTCGAACATCCCTTGGACCACGTGGGATGGACAAAATGATCCAAAGTGGCAATGGTGATGTAACAATCACGAATGATGGGGCCACGATTCTCAATCAAATGTCTGTCATCCACCCAACAGCTAAGATGGTAAACAACCTTATGCTTTTACAAAAAGTTAATTCGTGATTTAGCTTGTTGAGCTTTCAAAGGCTCAAGATATCGAAGCCGGGGATGGAACTACGACGGTTGGTTTTTGTTTAATGCGAAAAGATAGGACTACATATACACAACTTTATTTATTTTATGTACAAAGGATACAACAGAAAGTTACAGGTTGTCGTCATAGCTGGGGCTTTGCTTGATGTCTCAATGAATCTTCTTTCAAAAGGTACCATTGATTATTTTGGCAATTCAGTCAAGTTTTAGGGATTCATCCAACCACGATTAGCGAGTCTTTCCAACGAGCTGCCGGAGAAGCCGAGAAAATACTCGATTCAATGAGCACTCCAGTTGATTTGAGCAACGATGAGCTTTTGGTGAAAATGGCAACAACTTCTTTGAATAGCAAGGTTGTGCTATTTTTAAAATCATGTACACAAAGCTTTAGGTGGTTTCTCAACATTCCTGGCTGCTTGCTCCAATGGCAGTGAATGCTGTGAAAAAGATTGTTGATCCAAGCAAAGACACCAATGTTAATCTAAGTGTTAGTGCCTTATCTATTCTTTTTAAAATGCATTATTTAGATGATAAAAATTGTCAAGAAACTCGGAGATACTGTTGAAGAAAGCGAATTGATTGATGGAGCGCTGATCGATCAGAAAACGATGGGGCGTGGAGGGCCAACACGTGTAGAAAAGGCAAAGATTGGTCTCATCCAATTCCAACTTTCGGCACCAAAGACGGATGTTTGTTATCGGACTTTTGCATCACTTCTGTATTTAGATGGAGAACCAAGTTATCATCTCGGATTACACTCAAATGGATCGCGCTTTGAAAGAAGAACGACAATATCTACTCAATCTTTGCAAGCAAATCAAGAATGCAGGATGCAATGTGCTGCTGATTCAAAAGAGTATTCTTCGGTAGGTATCGTTGCCTATGCCTTATGACCTTGACTTTCAGCGATGCTGTTTCGGAGATGTCACTGCACTTTTTGGCAAAAATGAAGATTATGGTGGTGAAGGACATTGAACGAGAAGATATCGAGTTTTATTCAAAGGTTATTTATTCAATATCAAAAATGTTGCTACTACTTTTTTAGATTCTTGGCTGTCGTCCGGTGGCTTCGGTGGATCACTTTGTTCCAGAAGCTTTGGGATCGGCAGAACTTGTTGAGGAAATATCTACGGGCGGTGAAGGCAAAGTCATCAAGGTTTCTGATATATTCACTCTTCATATGTATTGCATTTCAATTACATTGCTGACTTGCCACTAAACAATGCACTTACGAAAGATTGTTACAAAATTTAGGTGACTGGTGTTCAAAATCCCGGACAGGCCGTGTCGATTCTTATTCGTGGATCGAATAAGTTAGTACTTGAAGAAGCTGATCGGTTTGTTTGAAAATATTTTATAACTAAGATCTTTTCTAGCTCTTTGCATGACGCACTCTGCGTTATTCGATGCCTGGTCAAGAAGAAGGCATTATTGCCAGGTTAACAATTTTTTATAAAAACGAATCTTGTTTTTTAGGTGGTGGCGCTCCTGAAATGGAAGTTGCGTGCAAACTTCGAGAAAAAGCCCAGGAAGGGAGTGGTGCTGAACAATATTGTTGGAGAGCGTTTGCTGATGCTTTGGAACTGGTATTTTTTCAAAAACAACATTTTTATTTAAACAATAACATAGATTCCTTACACGTTGGCTGAGAATGCTGGGCTTTCTCCAATCGAGACAGTGACTTCACTTCGCACTGAGCATGCAAATGGAAACTCCAATTTTGGAGTGAATGTACGCAAGGTTTGTTCTTTTCAACTTATTTGCATCCAAAAATCCTTTGCAGGGTTATGTGACCAATATGTGTGAAGAAGCTGTTCTACAGCCATTGCTTGTGAGCCTTTCGGCAATGAAATTGGCTGCCGAATGCGTGCGCTCGATTCTGAAGATTGATGACATTGTAAGTTATTTATAATGTTTGATTAATGCCGTGTTTAGATTCTCGGTGTTCGCTAAATGGCTTGAAACCAGCCTTCTCAACGCTGCTTGTTCTCAATATATGACCGTTTTCGACCTTGCTCTGTATCATTTTTTTTCCTTTTTAGCAGATCCTGAAATTATGTATTGCTTTGTTGATTTTGGTTTGCTTTATCTCAAGCGGAAATCTCATTGTTATTTTGTTGTCAATTTTTTCGTTATTTTGCTTTGTGGCATAAATTTCAAACTTTATTTTGCGAGAATATAACCTTAACTAAATATTGGAGGTGTTATTTAGCGGACACTATCAGGAAATGGCTTTCTTGGGCCTAGGAGCATATAGTGCTTAAATAATGGTTGTACCCAGCCCTGTTAAGTCTGCCCCTTTTTCGGTCCGTTCGCCGTTGGCAATCTACGAAGTTTGCTCGTACCTTGGCTGTTTGAAAAACGTTGAATGCAAGTTCGATAGAAAATTTGATTTCGGGTCGAATGAAAGCAAAGTCAACGTTTTCAAACAAACTCGGCTAAAATATGATATAAGAGACCGAATCACGTTAATTACGGCTATTGCAAGGGCCAGTTAGTTTTAAAAAAGTGAAAAAATGACGACCGGGGCCATGCTTGGTTTAACAGAAATTTTTACTATTTACTATTAAACAGACAGTTGTTACGTCAAATACATGGTGTTCCAAAAAAAATTGGATTTCAAATCGAATTTTAGAAAAAGTTTAAGTGGCTCAAGGGCTTGCCCCTGGTGCCAAAATGATTTTTTTGGGCTGAACAAGTTTTTCATATTTTTTGAGATTTTTCGAATTCATGACCTGTGCCTATGCATGAAATTTCTGAGCCACCATGGTCACCACCGCCATATGAACCACCATCATGAGATTTTTGTCATAAAATTAAAACTTTTTACTCGGATCGTGGTTCATAATAAACACTATTAGGATAGCTATAAATTTAAACCATACACTTTATTGATCAGGGTTTCCTTGGAAAAACGGGAAACTTCTTGAAAAAAAAGGCAAGTTGAAAATCTCTTATGTATGACAGGTTTTCATATGAATAGATGAATAGTTTGGCTAAAAATCGAGTTGATATATCGACGGATATGGCACCACGATGGTTTTAATTTTATGGCAAAAATCTCATCGCGGTGACCATGGTGGCTCAGAAGTTTCATGTGTTGGGAGTCATGAAATCGAAAAAATGAAAACTTGTTCAGCTCAAAAAAAAAATTTGGCGCCAGGAATATCCTTAAGCCACTTAAAATTTTCCTAAAATTCGATCTGACATCCTATTTTTTTGAAACACCCTGTGCATTGCTTTTTAAAAAAATCAACAATTTATTTAAAACAATTTTTTATTTCTTTCCTTTCGCTTTTCCTCCTTTTTGACCTGCTTGGGATTGTTCAATCACGAGAGTATCGTGGCATCTATGACGGAAATAAATCAACATTCAAAATGTAATATATACTTTCCACAGGTGTGGCGGTTGGCATGTGCGGCCATGAAGACTCCTCCACCGCAGTTCTGGCACTCACGGCGCTTGCGACTGATTCCACCGCTGCCGTCAACCTAAACAAGAAGACATTTGTTAGAACTAGAACCTATTCAGCGCAGCAGTGCTTTAACAAAGAACAAACCTCGTAATACTTGAGGACGGCAAGCTTGACCTTCTTTCTGATGTGCTTCTTCTTCTTGGGGGTCGAGTAGACCTTCTTCTTTCTTTTTTTGGCACCTCCAAGCAATCTAAAAAAATAAGGTGAGATCCAAAAGTAACACAATACCTCAGAGAAAGATGGTAAGTGGTCAACTCTTGCAAGCCCTCGTCATCCTCAACCTGCACACCTAAATGCAAAAGAAAGCATTAAAAATAGGATATAATCTGCCGATCCGTCCTCAAATGGCTTTAGCCACTCTCTAGATTCAGCAACTACTAAAGGAAACCTTCGAAAATGCTGACCTGAACTAATAATACGTTGATCCTCGACGGGGATTCCTTGCGATTTGGCCACCCATTGCTTCAGAGATGAGACTGTGTCGAATGGCGAAGTTTCAACTGTGACGGTGTCACCTCCAAGTGTTCGAAGGAAAACCATCCTGAAAATGTAAAAGTGAATCAGTTTTGCAACAACATAAACAAAAACAAAAAGCTGAACGTCAATAGTTATTGAAAAAGGTGAAATGTACATTTCCAGATCAACGAATTTAAAGCTAGCTATCACAATAATTGACAGTAGATATTAAAGCTCGTGTTAACCTATACAGGGTGGCTACAAAGTATCAAATCAAATCAAAAGTACATACCCAAATGTTAAAAGGCTAAATAAATTAGACGGTCACTTTCATGGTACCAAAATTATGAACTAAATGTTTCATTAAATAATGAATGACAAAAAGAAGAAGTCTTTAAAGAAAAAAAGATTTAAATAGTAGTATGAAACTCAATTCTACAAGGAGCTTTTGATTTTTCGCAATACTTTATAGCCACCCTGCAATATAACATAGTAGCGTAATGTAACAATCCTCGGCTAAATTGTACTTTACGGTCATCGCTCCAAATGGATTTTTTCGATGCCAGAACACTCGTACGGTCGAAAAAAAAACCATTTGGAGCGATCACCGTAAAGTACAATTTACTCAAACCCTCTTAACTAGAAAAAAATCGGACAGAATGGAAAATGAAGAATCCCAAAAGTTCGCAGTTGCGAAGGCGACGTGTTTTGTCTTGATACGGTAGTGGGGCGCGCCATAAAGTTTATCTTTTCGTGTCTTTGTGTCAGGTACGTCGCGTTTACAGTTTTGATCTTTTCAAGCGCAAAAATGATTTAACAATTTATATTCATTAAAAAAATGAGCAAGTGTACAATTTTTAACACCTTGAGTGATGAAATGAAAATGCTAGTTTTTATGATCAGATAGAGAGATCTGACCGCATAAACCGGCAGATTTGCAAGAAAAATTCAATCAGATAGACAATGGCAAGAGTGGATTTGTGAGGGAAAACTCATTGCGACAAAAATTCTTTTTTGAACCAAATTCAAGAGAAGAGGCTGGCCAAACAGCATCTGAAATGTAAATGAAAGTATGATGTTGTGGCAGTTTTATGGACTTAACGAGAAGTTGCCTAAATGTCGAAGCACTGTCATTTTACAGCTACATCTATGCGTTATACTACACTATTCTCTTAAAATTTTTTGTACCTTACAATATATTTTATTTAATCATTAAACGTCGATTTACCCGGCACAACATGCAAGACAAGCCAATCCACAACACGCCGCCGCCTCATCACTGAAAATTGTGAAAGTAAAACATCTAGCAAAGCTCAAAAATATCTCATTGATAATTGGAGAATCAATAATGAAGAAAATAGGTATGTATGATACAAGACATCTAGGCACAATAATTGTAAGTACATTAAAATATCTAGCTACCAATTTTAATTTGAGTTTGCCTATGAGATTCATTTTATAAAACCTACTTATGGTGATGATGGTGATGCGAGTGGCAATCATCGACAACTCTGAAATTTTTGGATTATAGAATTGTCGATGTTTGGATTCATGAGAGCGCTGGAACTTCGTGTCTGTCTCTGTAATCTGACGTGAAAAAGAATTACGTACGTGCAAAAGACAATTCCAATTAATTCAAATTAATAACATCGTTGCGGAAAAAAATTTAAAATAACTCACACAACATGTTGTGGTTGATGATAGACAATGTGTGGTTGTGCACCAGGTGGCGGGGGATAATGGCCGGCTAAATACACATCAAGAGATAATTTAATTTCCTGGATGATATACCCGGATAAGCTCCTCCACCAACGGGTACAGCTTGTGGTGCTCCATATGGCTAAAATAAATGCTAATAATAAGAGATAAATACAATAAATTAAAGGTGTATGTCGGTTTCAATCAAGGCTGGGCGGATATCCAGATCCGGATAATGTGGACTCGATCCAGAATTTAAGATGCGCCCAGCCCTGATTGAGACATGGGCTAGGACCTTACAGTAACTTTAAGTAACAAACTATAGATGATTACACAAACTAACAAACTAACATTACAATAAAAAATTTGACATATAAATATTTCTTTGTGACTTGCATTATAATATTGTTGTTGTGGTTGAGCACTGTACACTGGAGGGGCTGACATTCTCTAAATCTTGGAAAGTATTCAGGAAATCAGATGATTACAAAAAAGAAAGTAAGACGAAAGAAAGAATTCCTCAAACCGATCGGGTCAATAATATGAAAGAAATCGGCACATTCCCTTTGGTATCACTCAAACACACACACACACTCACTGGGGGAAAACTCTTATCAGAATTCGACCTTATTTTCTCTTTACAGCATTTTTTTGCAATATAACAGATTATGTTCTTTTCTTTTCTCTTCAAAAGCAGATCAATGACTCACTGAAAGTGACGTCGTTTTGAATGATTTTTAGCTTTTCATAAATCGTGATGAATCACTGATTCGATTTATACACAAAAAACCGTCCATATAATTGATGCTAAATGTGAATACTATGTAGAATAAGCCAGATCACATGACTGATTAAACTTTATTGTTGTTTTAATGTACCGCCGATCATTGTCCATTCATAGAGATGTCATTTTTTTTGCTTTATACATAAAGATAGATAAAGTTTATTAAATATCAGATATAATAAACGAAAATCTGATTCAAGCTCGCCAAGTAATTCGATAGAAAAAGAGAAAATTTTCTTCCTCTAATCATTCATTCTAAATTTGATCACTTTTTTTTGCTGATTCACCTATTAACTTACGATTTTGATATGAGAACACAAAAAGCAATTGATATTGATACCAAAACAAATTCAATAACCAGAACTGATGAATAGCGCAATCGACGAACCTATAACTTTTGTACAGCAAAGTTCTACAATGCCACATACTCAATGCTTTCATTGTATACCAGGTATGCATACTTTAATTTCTTTACTTTAGCACATTTTTATTACCGTCAATAAGTTATGCGGAGTCACTTCAACAGCTCGTTCCATAAACAAGAAAAATACCGATAAAACGAGGAGACATGTGAATGGAAGAATCTAGAAATGAATTTCAGAGAAGCTATTAGAAAATGGTACCATTAGAAAACTCGGGATACCAAACCAATGGATAAAACACTTGTACTCTTGGAGATTGAACCGAATTTCACCGTAAAAAAACTTACTTCAAGAACAATGTAGAAAGCTTTTCCGACATGTGTCAATGCATTGTATGATGCAAATCCAAAGGCCGTGGCTAAAATTGTGAAATTTGTGAAACTCGAAAAACAAGTGCCTATGTAGTATTTTGTAAGTTACTATACTACAGTGCTCAAAGTTTATCAAACAACGTTTCTTTTTTCTGTTACACAATGGCTTCATTCTCGGAACTCACTCGCGCAAATCATCGCGGCAACGCCAATCAACCGATGAATCCAATTAAAATATGGTCGCCGAGGATTCTTTGGTTCACATCTAAATGCATACTGCAAATACCATATTCTAATAAAGCTTTCGACTACTTGCTTTGTTTTAAACAGAAAGTTTAAGTTATTTTGCTTTTAAATCAAACTCGCCCAACCTAATAGCCGAAATGAAAGGTTGAATGAAAGCCAAGATGACAGCCGATAATCCGATTGCTGTATGCGGTTTCATCCAATTTTCTAAATACGTAGCATATTTGTGCATTTCAATATGATTTCTCACGAAGAGAATATTTTTTGACATTGCTTCCAGGTCCTGTCCATTTCCAATCATACGCTGATAGAATGCAACTCAAGGAAGCAATCATCAAAACAATTCCAAGCGTATTGCACGTTCGATGAACCTGAACAGTATGTCAACTATTGGAAATCATTCACAAATATTAACATGGAACCAAATGAGAAGTCCCATTGGTTTATAATCGGGCCAAGCATCTCTCATAAAACGAGCAAAGAAAACGGCTGTTGGCACAAAACAAAACCAAGCGAGAACCATCATTATAGCTAAAATGTTATTTTTTTTTCATATAAGGTCAATGGTTATATCCTTACCATGTGCTTTTATTAATCTTTTTCTCCATGCTGTCGATGGTGGTGGCTTAATACTTTGAATTGCACTCAAATCAATAGCATCTTCAGTGGCTGCTCTATCACCATCAGCATGCTTTCTAAGTCCTAAAACTTCAATGTTTGCTGCACAACTTATCTTTTTGAAAATTCAAACCAATACCTCCACTATTTGTTCGACCTCTTGCCAAAAGAATATGTTTTTTATCTCCATTTTGATAGTGATAGATTTTATTGTTTTCTGTTATATTTCCATTGAGTTGTTGCACAAATTTACAATAAACAAATCCATTTTCTTCAAGTACAGTAAAACCAGTCAAAATCTCGCCAAACTATACAAAGACAAATAAAAGATTTCAACGTCTAATTTACCTTTACATCCGTAATTCGCTCATTATTTGGCCCATCATTATTGTACGAAAGTTTAGCTGTCATTGTTGGTTCACCAATGGCAGAGCATTCAGCAACAAAACTGTCTTTCTGAAAAAAATAACTGTATAGAAAGGTAAATTTATTTTTACCATCTGTGCCGTGTCTGAAAATGCGAGAGCAATAAAACTATCAGCCTGTTGGAAATGAGGAGCATAAAGCTCGATTTCCAGAAAAGCCACATTTAAGTCGGTGTCGTTGATGAACTAAAGATTTTTCGTTTTTCTAACTCAAATGAGATTTGAAATCTTAAAGGAGATTTTATTTGAAAAAGATGTAATTTAAATTACCCGAAATGATGCAGTGGCAAAACATGACTCTATCTTTTCAAGAGAACATGGGGCAAAACAATTTTTCGTATGGTCACAAGTACTCGAATCAAATCCGCTTGTAGTATCGGGAATTTTGCCCAGATTTACTTGCGTTGATGTAATATGGCGTTCGGTTTGTGCGTGATGTGTCAGACCTATGAGAGTCTTCTGTAAACAATACGCAAACCATTCTTTTGTTTGCTTACTATTAGAGTATATCTACACATGATATTATATCTCTATTACCATAAAAAACACTTTTCTACTACAAAGCAATCACCAACCATTAGCATCAGTTTTCCCTCTTGCCAACAACAAATATTTCAAATCTCCATCTGTATATGTATAAACTTTGTCATTATTCACTCCAAGATTTGTTATTTGTTGTGTGAATTTACAGTAAACATTCCCATCAGAGTCATCCACTTCGAAATTTGTCAAAATCTTTGCAAGATCACCATCCTAAATATGTATTAACCAGCATTTTCAATTGGATACAAACGCTCAATTCAGGAATTCGAGTATTACTATGATTTGCATAGTTATAGGAAAGTTTCGGAGACATTACTGCCGAATTCACAGCCGAGCATTCAACCACAAAAGTTTCTCCCTAAATATGAAATGGGAAATGTAAGTAAGCAACCCAATCAAAACCCACCATTTTTCCTGCATTTTTTCCGTATCCCAAAGCAATATAAGAATTGGCTTGTTGGAATTTCGATGAGTACAGTTCAATATCCACATAATTTTTTCCACCATCAACTCGAGACTAAAGTCTTCTGATTGGCTTCAATTTCATCATGCTTGAGAAAACGCTATAATCTGTGCCCTCAACAGTAAGCCTACAGTACTCCCTTATTCATTCCCCAATTCTACTCACCGTCAATGAAGCAACGGCAAAGCACTTATTTGGATCATTATTGTGTCCTTCACAAGGGAAATAACAATATTTTTCTGCTCCACATGTGCTCGAATCAAAACCGATTTTTGCAAGAGGCGCCGATAAATCAATCGAATCAGCAGCGGCTGCGCGTTTAGTCCCGCCATGTTGAGTCAAGCCTGAAAAATCCAAATTGAAACACCAAAATCAAACGTGTTGCACCATTTCCATTTGCTGTTCCTCTTGCCAGTATTGGATAAATCCTGTTCCCATCGACGTAGTTGTAAACTTTTGCATTATTAGTCGGCAAATTGTTAAGTTGTTGAGTAAAAGTACAATAAACAGCTCCATTCGTTTCACTGATTTGTTGGTTCGTCAAAATTTTGCTCAGATCAGCGTCCGGCTGTAAGAAAGTATGGTGCCCATCAGTGAACTGATTGAGAAAGATGTATATTACCAGGTCAGTAATTCGAGTATTGTTGTAGCCGTCATCAACATTGTATGAAAGTTTTGCTGTCATCGTTGTTGTCCCCAAAGCTGAGCATTCCGAAATGAAACTACCCGGCTGAAAGAGTATGAAATTAAAATTGTCTAATTGTAAGTATTTCAACCATTCCACCATCATGTGAAAGTCCAAGAGCAATATAATTTGAATTTTGTTCGAAACCCGGGGCATACAATTCAACATCCATTAAGAAAGTTGTATCAATTTGTCGTGTCTATAATCAGATTACACGAGAATTTCCTGTGAAAAACCTTCAATGAAGCAACAGCATAACAACCGCTCAAATCTGTCGAATCTTTTGTCGCACAATCATTAGGGAAAAAACAATATTTTTCCGTTCCACAAGCGGTTAGATTGAATCCCAGAGTCGTATCAGGAATATTTCCCAGATCAACTTGAGTAGCAGTGATATCGCGTTCAGTGTGATGTGTCAGACCTATGAGAGTCTTTTGTAGACAATATGCAAACCATTCTTTTGTTTGCTTACTATTAGAGTCTAGCTCCCATATTTATTCTAATAGAAGCACTTGCGCTTCTATTTTTCGATCATTTCACAAAATTACTCCTTTTGGAGGTTGCGCTTGGATTTTTCAATAACTAAAAAAATTGATGAGGTAGCTCGTAGAAAGAAAACCTGTAGATAACAACCAATAAAAACAATTTAATCGCGAAAAAAGCATTATTCTCGATTTCATTACCATTAGAGTCGCCGACTTTAATTGAGATGTCACTATCGTAGTCAATGCAAGAAAATGCAAGAAAATGCAAGAAAAGCTACTGATTAAGCAATAATGACAATAATAATCTAAGAAAGAAATAAGCAAGAAAGATTCTTTGCTAAAGGGTTGAATACTAAAATCTAAAACGTCAAAATGTTTCAGTTATGAGAATTTTATGGCATAAATAGGGGTAATTAGGGGTAAAAATTTCCTCCGTTGTGTTGTAATTCATTATTCGTGTCGAATAAATATACTTTTATAAATTACCTTAAGCTCGACGGAATTTAATTACCTAGTCTAAGTTATAAATTTGATCCAAATAAGCTGACTACCTAATTGCAAGAAAAACTTATCAAAATTGCCACTGCTGATGCAAAACAAATGATAAAAATTTTTGGAAGGAAATGCTTATACATTGACTCTCTCTATAACGGAACTCTTATTCAGGGTGTCTCAAAAGTAGCCCCTTTTCAAACCGAATTTTGGAAAAACTTTAAGTGGCTATTGGTGCCAAAAGGGTTTTTTTCTTTAAGGCAATTTTTTCAGCTTTTGAGAATTTTTTGTTTTCTTGATCCTTATACCCTAAAATTCCATAGATAAGAGCGGTTTAATTTTTGCCAATTTTTTTAAATATTTTAATTTATTATAAAACCAAACAACAACAACAACAACAAAAGTAACAATAATTTAATTAATATTTTCAATTTCTACATCGCCATCATCGTTTATATCCATACCGGAAAAATCGTTTTTGAGATTTTCAACATCACACAGTGCTTTTTCAAAGCTATGTATGATAGTGTCAGAAGAGATGGAAAAAAAACTTTCGCTGACCAAAAATGCTGCTTCTTGGTAGCTCATTCTTTTTCTGATTCCGCTTTTTGTATAATTTGCATTGGCTTCGTTTGCCATCCATTTTTCATCAGCTCTTGATTCATCCAACCTTTTTCATTCGTTTTGATGATGACATTTGTCGGGAATTTGCCTTTCGGCATCAACTTCTTCTTAAAAATGAGCATCGGCTTGAGTTTTTCGCCAGCAGCAGTCACACCAAGTACAACTGTAAAATTTGACTTCTCATGACCAGTGGAATCAATTTTTATGTTGTCTCGCCCCTTGACATCCACAGTCCGTTCATACACGACATCAAAGAGAACCGGAACTTCATCCAATTTCCTAAGTTGTGACGAGAAATGTTTAAGCCTTCAGCTGCGACAAACTTCCGGAAAGAAGAACATTTTTGCTGATGGTCACATGGCAGTGATTGTCCTACACTTGTTCTTCTTCGTATCGACAATTTTTTTCGTGCCATGAATAAGCTGCACCAACGCGGGATGCCTTGAACTCGTGGTAACCGTGCTCTTCTGCCAACTTCTTTGCTCGGGTTCTTATCTCATTTATTTTGACTGCTCTATTAAGGTCTCTCTTTTGAACAATCCAATTGTAAATTTCCTCCTCAATCTCTTCCACGCTTGGCCTTTTGTAACGCCGGGCTCTTTTCGTTGCTGGCATCTCCTCGAGGATATCCCTATCCGCAACCCATTTTCTAATCATTCCTTCAGTCACATCAAAATGAATAGCTGCCGCTAATGTTCCATGCTTATCCCGGTGCTTCACCGCATCAAGCTTGAAAGCCACCGTATAAGACTTGCGACGTTGCATGATTTCTAAAATAAAAAACGTAAAAAAATATAAAACGTTAAAAAACAAAAAAAAATAAAAATAAGGAAAAAAATTAATATCAATAACAAAATTTCAGAAAAAAGTATTTTTTAGCGATAACCGCTCTTATCTATGAACCGCTCTTATCTATGGAATTTTAGGGTACACGAAAATTTGGTGGTGGTGAAAAATTTCCGTGTATTCGGGTCGAGAAAACAAAAAATTCTAAAAAGGTGAAAAAATTGCCTTAAAGACAAAACCATTTTTGGCACCAGGAGTGCCACCAATAGCCACTTAAAGTTTCTCTAAAATTCGGTTTGAAAAGGCGCTTCTTTTGAGACGCCCTATATAGCGGAAAGCTTTATATAACGGAATGGAATTTTGGTCCCGGCCGACGCTAAGCTATTTTAAATATAAAAAATCATGAGCCTTGAAAAATCAACGAGAAAATTTTTTCAGACTCAAACCGATGACCACCTTTTTTCGGACGCCCTGTATAGCGGAATTCTATATAACGGAAAAAATTTGGAAATGCTTATATAACGGAATAGTTAAGATATTCAGTTATCAAATTGGCTAATTTACTGCTAAGCTCTTCAATATTACGTAATATTTTATATTTACATAGTGATCAAGTATACATGTTATATCCGATTTAGAGTCAACAATAGTATTAAAAATTGCTGCGTAGGTAAATCATGTTTTTGACACCAAAAACAAGATCAAAAGCAATAGCCGCACCAAAATCCCGTAAATTTTTTCGAATTTAGCCATTTTTAGCGTAAAAATACACTAAGTGTTAGTTTTATCATTTTATGTTCCCAAATTGTGCCCCGTTTCACAACATTCTCTCTTTTTTCCTTCGTCAAAGTGCTATACAGTAGTAATCGTTAGTTTTTAGAAATAGAGACTCGATTGAACAAAAATTTCCGCACTCATAATCTAAATCGGATATAAAATACATATGTATTTAAAAGTTTGCGTTTGCTTATTTTTGTCTTTCTTACTTATTTTTCTTTCAATACTTTTGTTTGCTTGAATACTGTCTTATTTTCGGGATGGCGATGAACAAACGCATAACGCTCTCTCTGATGCAGAAGGTTCAACTTATCGAGGATAAACGAGGAGGAAAATACACAAATGATGAAATTCAAGCCTAAGCCTAAGCCTAAGCCTAAGTACAGATTGAAGAAGACCGGTTTTTATGCATTTTTGGCACAAAGCGAATCAATATTAGAAGAAGCTTCGATTTCATCGCCAACAATCAAAAGAGCACGTATAGCGAAGGACGAAACTTTAGAAGAGACAGTTCTATCATGGTTCAAGGAGCAGCGCAGCCGAAATACTCTGATTAGCGGCCACATTCTTCGTGAAAAGGCCCTTTCTCTTGCAAAATACTTGGGAGATACCGATTTTAAAGCAAGTGACGGATGGTTGTCGCCTTTCCAGAAGCGCCACTCGATTGTTTTCAACGTGGGCGGTTTGCAGGATTGGCAAAACGACGCCTTTCCTAGGCGACTCAGTAGCGATTATCAAGCCGCTGATGTTTTTAATCTTGATGAGACTGGACTCTTTTGGCGATTTTCTCCCGATTCAACTTTGGCATTTAAAAGCAATAAGTGTTCCGGAGGAAAAAAAAATCGGAGGGTCAACTGACAGTAGTCATATGTGCTAATATGGATGGATCCGAAAAGCTTCCGGTTTTCGTTATTGGAGAATCTCAAAAGCCGCGTTGCTTGAAAAAGAGCAAAATTCGATTATGTCGCGAGCCGAAAGAATTCTAAAATAGGCTCTTGGTTTCTGCGTAGCTGCCCAGGCAAATGCAATCGTTGGCCGTCCAGGGCAGCTGCGCAATAAAAGGCGGGCACGTTTTAGAATCGTTGAATCGAAATTTT